TTTAATGTTTGTAACGATCCGAATTATTAAACGCTCATCATCAGATTGAAGGAATTAAAAACACGTCTCTAGATATGAATTGTAAGAATGAACAACAAATCTGTGAGTAGAACCACCATTTACAACATATGAAAAAGTTAGTATCCACTATTATAAATTGCACTGTTCAGCAAAGTACTTCCTTTTTGGGTGGAAATAGAAAATTTAAAAAAAAAAATCAACCGTTGACAGACTGACAAGGAATATATTGAAAAACAGATAGTGTCTCATATGTAATAATAATATAAAATCATAAATAATAAAACTCAAACAGATAGAAATTTATGGTGCCTTTTCTTTTTATTGGTTAAATATTATTTTCTTTGTTTTGAACTTTTTCACCAAATAGAATTCTTTTATTTATTGATAAAATTCAGGTATTATAAACAGCCTAAATTGATTTTAGCCTAATAAATCAAATGAAAAACGTGATAAATGGGTTATTTTGTAAATTCCTGATTCCTGGAGTTATCTATTTAAACAATAAAAGATTTTTTAAATTATTATTTGCCTTCCTTTTTAACGAGTAAATATCTTTGCGTTGATATGTAGAAAACATGGCCAATCAAATAAACGTAAAAATTGCAAACGTATTTTTTTCGTTGTTTTTAATTAGTGACAATCCAGAAAACTTTGCAAATGTAAAATTCAAATAAAATTAAATTGATCAAATTTGACGAGATTGCAAAATTGGTATATTCTGTTGTTTTAACAGTTTATCGCTGTTCCCCAATTGGAAAATAAGATCACCCAGTTAAATCAGAATTCTACTTTTTTCATTATCCGGCCGTTGACCACCAGAGTGCCCGCCCGGTTTACATATTACTGGGTCAGCCATCCTGGGAACCGAACAATCTTCTAACAACAATGAACTTTCTTGCTTCAATTAAACTCCTTTTTTTAATCGTAAGACAACATTGTTTAAATATGGCTACAGTTGCAGAACAGCCGACTTTCAAAATAAACCAAAATATCATTTTATTAAGCCAAAAAAACACAAATAAAAAAAAACCACTTGGTAATTATGATGTTGATTTTACATCACACTGTATAAATGTTGTTAAATATTCAAGCTATTGTGTATTTCCCGTCGTTTTATTTTTGGTATTTGGCCCTTTCTTTCCGGGATTCATTTAATGCTTTTTGAACGGCGACTTTCCATTTTGGGTACTCGGTTTCTCCCAAAGGGTACAGCATTTCAGTTGGAAATAACTGTAAATTGAGAAAATTTAAACGTAATTTTGAAAACAAAGGCATTAATAATTCAAGGGATATTTTGTAATAGAGAAAGACAAGCGTTTTAACAGCCGGCCTCGTTGAGGAAATATTAAGGAAACTAACTCCCCGCAATTAACCACTCACATTTATTATTAATTATTATTAGCAATTAATATAACGTTTATATCATTAAAACCGCATAGGTTTAACAACAAACAGGTATAAGAATTTTTCTGGTTATTAATGTTTTCAATGTGATTGTGACAATTTTGGCTTTTATTAAAGATGTCTGTAAGATATTGAAATTTTATCTATTTTATAATAATAATCTTTGTTTTCCTCAATGGTTATTGCATTGTTTTTACTTTTATTGGGACAATGTTAGTTTGATTGATCTCTTCTGGTTAGTAATTTTTTTATATCAAACAATCTTAGCTGTTTTTAAAGATAATTAATTTTTTTTTTAAATCATATTTGCTTAGTGGTCATAATTCACCACATTAATTATTCTTTTTATCTAAGGTTTTTGGTTGAGATGAAAAACCCTAAATAAAAAGAATAATTAATTGGAATAATTACTTTTTAGTTATTGATTTCTTCTTCAACTTCAATAACCAATCTTAGGCTTTTTTAAAGAATTTTCTGGTTTTGCTATCTTTTTCAATTTTGTTAAAATAATTTTAGCTTTTTTAAATATCTCTTCTAAATATTTATTCCTTCTGCAATTGCATTAAGGCTTTTTCTTAAAAATGTCTTGTTATTGATTGATTTTTCAATTTTATTAAGACAATCTTAATTTTTCAAAGATTTCTTCTCGTTATTTATTTGTTCTTCAATTTTAATAACCAATCTTTAGCTTTTTTAAAGGATTCTTCTGGATATTGATTTCTTTGTCAATTTTATTAAAACAAGTTTAGCTGTTTTAACTATTTCTTCTGGATATTTATTTCTTCTTCAATTGCATTAAAACAATCGGCTTTTTTAAAGATCCTTTATGGTTTATTGATTTATTTTTCAATTTTGTAAGTACAATCTTGACTTTTTTAAAGATTTCTGCATGTTCTTGATTTCTTTTTCAATTTTATTAAGTCACTCATCAGTTACTCATCATTTTTAAATATCTCTTCTTCATCATCTCATTCATTTCATCTTCAATTTTATTAAAACAATCGTAACTTTTTTTTCTTTTTTTTCTTGATTTCTTTTTCTAAATCAATCAATCAATCAATCTTAGCTTTTTTAAGATTTCTTCTGATTATTAACTTTTTTTAATATTCTTAAGAAAATCGTTTTTTTCACTGGATAAATATTTATTTTTCATTTTATTAAGATTTTTTATATTTCTTCTTGTTAATAAATATTGTCGATTTTATTGAGGCATTAATTTTGTAACACATTTTCTGGTGAATGAATTTATCCAATTATATTGTGATAATCTTAGGTTTTTTAATTAACGATATAAGGAAGATATAGTGCATATTTTACTAAATAGGCTTAATTGTCGCATTTTAATTTATGAAAAAATGTCATGGTTTTAAGAGATTTTTTCGACATACAAGAGCATATTGTTGGAGGGTCGATTTATTTGAATTTGAAATTTATGTGATTTATATCAAATAGATATCCAATATAGAAGCGTCATGATCAAAGTTTGAATTCCCTTTCATTTTAAATACTTTTAATTATACAATAAACGCCCATTTCTTGTCAAAACTGTTTAACAAACTTCAGCGACATTTTTTTTAAAAAAGCCATGAGTTTATGAAGACAAATCCTCACATACAATAAAAAATGACCTCAAGAAGATCCAATACATCAATTTAAACTACGGAGGTCGATCAATATCAACTAGAAAACTTCAGCGAGATTTTAATTAAAATCAATTATCACGAATTAGTGATACGTGGAGAAAGTTCGTTAAGGGGGTGTAAACAATATTGAAGAAACCCAAGAAGTTTTAACGAGGAAGGAAGCTTTTATGTAATACTATAAACTATATTCCAGAACCGTCCCATAAAAATTGCTTTATCTAGGCTGAGCAGTCGGCCCGGGTTTTAGAACGTTCTTTCGATCAAAACAAGTTTTACCACTGATAAAAGTCTTTTTAAGCGTTATGGTAACTAGTTGAAAACATATTTTCATGTTGCGAGCAAAATTTTGAACTTCTTTTTCGTGCAAAACGTAAGGAGATAATTGGCAAACCTAGTTCAATATACATTCCAACCCCCCCCCCAATGGTTAATGCCCTGGATGTAGAAAAATAAATATAAACCCTTTTTTAAAGGGATGAATTTCAATATAAAAGAACGACGAATTTTTAATTAAAGGCACACAGACAGGTAGGAAAGTAGGATCAGGTCAACTATCTTTCACAGGATGAGATCTTTTTTTCTGTTTATACCTTGGGCCGTCGCGACATCAAACGTTTGTTAAATACATTGGCCCTATTTCTTTGCCCTCAATCAATTTCATTTAAAAACAATTGTGTATAGTGTATCAGCAATTGAAGAAAATGTAAGACAAATACATAACAACAATCGATTTCCCCTATCAAATTCTAACAAAATCTGAAGAAGTAGGATTTGATTGATGAACAATTTTTACGTTTTATGGCAAATACTTTGTTTAGCTTATGTGTAGAATGGTTTTCTCTTAAGTGAACTAATTTTTCTCATATTAAAAAAATAGAACAAAAAGAAACTGTGCATGATTTAGAAGATTTTAATGACAGACTTTATATCTTAATGAACGGAGGGAGGAAGTGCATCGATTATCATATCAATAATTGTCCTGAACAATAAATTTTAGATATTAGCGAAATTATGGCAAAATATAAGAATAAAATCATATTTTATGAATTGTCTAGACATTGAATTTAAATTTTTATTAGTTTTTTGTAACATATAAACAAAACTGCATAAATAATCAGGAAAGTAGTTTGAACAGTGAAGAAGCAGTAGACCGTGGAAAAAATTAAATATCTTTTATTCGACAATTAAATAAAGAGATTGGTTTTAAATTAAATATCGATGATTTGTTATAAGGAATACTGTAATTGATCATAATCCAGAATTCAGATATGATGTATGATTTGTGGTCTGCAGCTGATATGTCAACATGAACGTTCCTTTCAATGTACTTTTAAGGGGAAATAAAGGTACGAGGGAAAACCCACGTCTCAGATATTTAACTAATTGTTGTCTCTTCTATTTTTAATTTATGGACAGTTATTTATTATTTTTAAGATGGACAAAGGAAATTTTCTCCGGTGTGTCAGGTGGCATTGTGAGATATTGGCCTTGACGGAGTCCATTCGTATCTCGCACACCGGGAGACTTTAACTAGCTGTTAAGAAGCTCAGCAGACCGGCTTCTCGGTCAGAGAAAGCCGACCCGACGTTAACCTAACTTCTCAAAGACTTGATGGACGGAATATGACATACTTCCGTCTCGACATTTTGGACGAGCAAGAAGATGAGAAAGAAGTTGAGTTTATTTAAGAAACGTCGTTGAACAAGAGGCGTTCTTAGAGATTTCAATTCCACGTCGAGTACAGAACATCGTGCGGATCAGAAACCTAAAATTCCGGCTTGTTTGATGTTTTAACGTTGTGAAATAGATACCGGCGGGTGCAATGCCCTTCAACCAATTATTTATTTATTTTTCTTAAAGAAACGTCCGACATTATAAAATCCGTCTAATGTAATATTTGTTTAAAAATTATTAATAATTGTTTGTTGTTACCTTATAAAAGGGTTTTTTGGCGATATCAGAGAGTGTAATCCATTAGGACACCAAAAGAAAGGCACTGACGCGATTGCAGGAGATGGTACCAGAACTGCGTTGGGCAGGTGACTGTGAACTTGCCACTGGTTTGTATTGCTGCGTGTCAATTCCCATGGGGCATCGACTCCGCGCCATCTACCGATCTTCAACATTCTCTACACAAATGTAGTTCCAACCTATGGCAAACAGGGGTCGGAGCGACCCAAGAAGAAATGGGCGTTCTCGACCTCTCCGCCTCCCTCCAATGGACTTTAATGGTCCTCCGGGTTCCTGGAAATATGGGAAGAAACTTTCCTCTGCTTCGCCTGGAATGTGTGAGTTTGCGTATTAAGATGGCAAACAAATTGGCGAAATTGGCAAACTCGGCGCCAATGTCTTTTTTCCCTGGAAGTTCAGATGTTAAATATAACTGAATTGCATTATTTAAGACGGCTAATTACACTTTTTAAATATAATCAGTATAATCGATTAAAATGACGGTAATCAATTCTGTAAATATTGTTGATAAAAAATAATTAACTACAATTTCTATACACTACATTTTCATTATTATGCTGTTTTTAGACCAAATTTGCAGAAGGTTTGGGTTGTTTTGTAAACATAGGTATTATTTCTGTAGGAAATTTCGGTATCTTTTTCGCTATAGTAAGTAATGCAGAAATTTATTTTCTGTTGCGCAGAATTGTTAAAATTTATTAATTGTTTGCCTTGTATTAGTATTTATACAAACGTCAATAATTTCAGGAGGTTAACCTACACGTTAAATTGGGCTAAGAAGTACCTACTATCCAAAGTCTGATACTCAATTTTATTCGAGATATTACACTTCAGGTTACTTCAACCTTTCACAACTTTAACCCATAAAGTTCTTCGTATCTGATCAAATGTTAATTCTACTGTAAATTTGATTACACCAATGGAAAAAGCATTGAAAATCTACGAGATTCATTTTTTATTGTAACCTTAAGCTAACAAAAATGCAATATCACTTAGAATATAAACTTTTACAAGTTTCTGAAGTTCTTGTCTATAGTTAAAGTCAGATTTTCTTAGTTCTGTAAATACTGACAGACATGGCGCTTTTGTTACCTCTTAACACTTTTCTCTTTCCTCAGTGAGGAAATAGCGAGTACTTCGGGAAAGGTTTGGGATGAATGGTGATCGAGTGGGGTTGGGATAAGGGTCTAGGTTTTATGGAGGCGTCTGTATCGACTACTTGCAGTTTTGGGGATAAATGGGATTAGCTTATAGATAGATAGGTTTGGTTAGCAAGGTTGGATAAGAAATAGGGAGCTTGGGCAATAGTTAGAACGATTTAGAAGAAGGGGTGACTTGAATTATTTGGAGGTTTGAGTAATGAGTACGATGTGTAATCGTGGCGATGGTTTTTTTAGTAAGAGTTTCGTTCTGCTGTCAAGTAGTCCTTTGACTAGTTTATATCGCCTGTTCAGTTCTATTTTTTTCGAGTGTGGGGTCAATTTTTTGACGATGTAAAGCCCCAAATATTCGTACGACACACTGCATAAAATTTACAGTAAACTACAGAGAAAATATTATTTAGTCGTATTGTTTCTACCAGCATTACATCCAGGCGCGTCTCGGCATTGCGCCAGCTAGTTTTGGTGCCTCTCCCTGTTTATAACCCTGACCAATCATCGAAAAAGGCGAAGTACCGAAACATTCTGACTGACCATTACAGGAAGATCAAAATGAAATTGTTTGTTTATATTATAATTTGAACTTTGTTATTAAGATAAAAAAATACTTTAACATATGAATGCTTGACATTAAATTAGTCATCGTATCTGTTTATTTATTAAAAAATAAATTTAAAAAACAGAAAGGTGTTTACATTTGTTACTTTTCGATGCTGTAAATCAAACAAAACTCCTGGACTTTCTTTCTCTTTTAATATATTATTAAAAATTTGATTTTTTTTAAATAATTTAATATCTGGTAGAACTAAAAACTTGAAAACTTTTCTAAATAAAATTGTAATGTTTAGATTGTACGTCACTTAGTGTACGCGTTGCCTGTGTTTGAATGAATTAACCAAGATATCTCTTTTAAATGTTGTAATGTGCCGGATATAAGTTTTTCTTTATTTTTTCTTTCTTTTTCGCGATGTTCTAAGTAACTTTTTCTTTGCTTAAAGGTCAACATAGTTGACATCGTCGTTTTTCCGTGGCCTTGTCAGAAATCGTTGGCATGCAATAGAAAGTATTGTTCCGAATAGCGCGATATTTTCAGGCAGAAGTGTTCGACAACTTTCAAAATTTTTAAACTTTATTTTAGGTTTTTTTAATTTTTATTTTAAATTAGAACAATCAATGGGGCAACCAATTCTGAATCATGATTAGCTGAGATGTATTGTAAAAAGCCATTTATTTTTATCATATATTTTATACTACCCACATCAAATCTTGAATTAAATCGTCAATGAAAATTAATTAGGAATCTCCTCAGTTCTTTTTAAATCCTTGTTGTGTCCTTCTTCACTATTTCTAAAATACCTTAATAACTTGAACCATTGTAATCCTCTTTGTCTAAAATAAATAAGGAGTGAAATAAGAAATAAACAACTTATACTTCCCACTCAACAAGTGGTAAAGTAATTCAATTTATTATCACTTATTTCATTAATTTTTAAATTATACTTTATTCTTGGGATCTGCGAAGTAATGAACGTGTCGCTTCGGATCAGAACCTCGTTGTTTTGATTTGGAGAAAGCGTTTTGGCTTTTCTCCATCTTCAGTGGTAGACAAGGGTATAAGCGGGGGGAGGCACACATTCAAACCCACCACGGGAGATAAGAAAATAATACACCAAAACAGCAAGGTTAGCCAGAGTAAAATTGCAAAAAAGATTGCAAACGACCGAAGTTACAATTTCATTTTATCCAAAATTTTAGTTAAAATTTGTAAGAACAATGAAGTTTTCATTATTTCCATACGCTTATATTTTGACAAAATAATGCATATCTGCTGCTTTAAATCTTTTTTTAAAGACTAGACGTGTGCTAAAGGAAATTTAACAGAATTAGAACTGGATCTAAACAATTATTAAAGCAGGTAATAGGCACTACTCGGTTTAATTTTTAGCAATAACTTTTATTTATAAACATTAAAACGTGAATAAAATTGTCAAGAAAAATTCATAATAATCGTGTCGTCTATGTCCTTTTTTGTTGTTTACGCTATAATACATTTTGCTTTTTTTCTGTGCTTTCTTTGTTAGGCTTATTAAAAATTCTTATAATATAACATATAGAAATTAGATTTGATTAATTTGTTGTTCATATTCGACGATTAGTTATCATTTCGTTAGTGTGCAAAATTTATATAAACTATATGAACGAGAAAGTTTTCTTTGTTTTGATATCCTTATTCTTGAGAAAATAGTGGAATTTTGGTGTTCTAAGATTACCCATTTTTTTCTTTCTTAGGAAATTTTCAACCGCAGTGACAATTTTACTTTAAAAAAATTTGTAACATAAGGACCCTAGCAATGGGGTTATTGTGAAATTTCCAAATACCGGAGTTATTAAAAGAAATTTACATCATATCACTGATTGCGTCTCGAAAACGTAGCATTTTTTAATCTCAGCGTGCATTAGTTGACAGATGATGTGATGATAATTGATATTGTCACAATTTTACATTTTAGTGAACATTTTGATAGAAAATGTTGCCCTTTCTTCTCGGTTTGAATTATAGCAATAATGTTTTATTTATAAACATCAAAACTTGAATAAAACTATCAAGGGAAGTCTGCCGTCTATTCCTTCAGTTTTTGTTTTCGATACGATACATCTTGTTTTGGTTTTTTGTCCGTGCTTTCTTTATTAGGCTTACTGTTGATTCTTATAATATAAAATCTAGAAACCAGAATTGCCAAGTTTTGTACTCTTCTTTTTCAACAAGTAGTAATATTTAATTAATACAGTTACCATTTGATTAGTTTCATAATGTTTATAACTTACATAAACTATGAAGTTTTCTTTATTTCGATATTTTTAATTATTGGAGAAAATGTAAACATTTGGTGCTTTATGGCTACGTTAAGTTCCCTGTTTTTCCTTCATGGGTACTTTTAATTTGTAGTGTTGATTTAATAGAATAATTTTACTGAAGAAATTTATTAGGACTGGATATTGTATTGTTAAATTCCCAACTTCAGGACAAGTCATTAGAAGAAATTTACGTTGGACCAATGATCACGCTTCGGAATCAACAGTCGTTTTTAATGCTTTAATTGACAGATAATTGTTTAATTGAATCAAAATTGAGAAAATAAAATCGGTTTAATACGTGAAACTAATTTCCGCCTTACGACAACAAGGAAAAAAGATACCCTGTCGAATAGCAAGAGGAGGAGGAGATCGTTACGCTATTTTTTTATTATTCTCTTGTTAGTAATAAAAAATCGCGAATCCACCTATATAATGGCCAACTGATGCCGGACCGAGACGAGTTAACTCGAACTGTTATAATTCAACGAGTTCTGCAGGGGGAAAATACAGGGTGTAAGTACGAAGTACAAAAGTGGCAATCCCGGCCTGACTGATCCGAGGCGTATCCGGGATGAGCTAGCTACCAACCCCCGCCTAACCGCCAATCTTAACAGGCAGCATTGTAAACCTTCAGGTTCAGTCATCGTCCAACAAGTAAAGAATGTGGTCCGTTATTGCTGCATTTATTGGACTCTGTGGTAAGTGCCGTCGGATAACCCCTCAAAAAATCTAAGTTCACTGTTCAAATTTAAACGGGACACTTTTTCAGCGCTTGCCAACAGCAATATGGTCCAAGTTAACTGCCCGAAGACTGGCATTTACATTCACGTCATGCCTTCGGCTAACTGCAAACTGTTTTACGTTTGCACTAGTGGCACGGTAATTATTCTAGAATGTCCGCCAGATACTATGTTTTCTTCGGAGGAAAAGGTCAGTAGAATATGTCTTGATAAGTTTTGGAATTATATTCACCACATTGTTTTGTATTTAGCGGTATTTTCTTCTAGTTACAGTCTAACTCAATCGAACTAACTATTACGATCGTAAAAATCGATACATAAAAATACACAGATACATGTACACAATTTTTTATATATAAATATATATGTATACTNTGTGTGTGTGTGTGTGTGTGTGTGTGTGTGTGTGTGTGTGTGTGTGTGTGTGTGTGTGTGCGTGTGTGCGTGTGTGTGTGTGTGTGTGTGTGTGTAGTATTATTTGTGTCGTACTATATCTGCATTTATGTATGCTTGAGAATGTACATACAGACTGAAGTCACACACTCGTGTAAAACTGGCCATCAATTATAAGTATAAATTATGCATGTATATACGTGTGAGAGAGAGATTCTGGAAATAGTAGTCAATTAAATAAATAATAAATAAATAGTGATGAAAATTTTTTAAAAATTATTTTAGTTTAACCCAGAAGAGTAAATGTTAACCCCTTCAAATTTTAATTAACACTACTAGAAAATACGTTTTTTGAGTCATTAATTTTTAAATGATTCTATCCTGACAGCTAATAACAAACTCATAATTAAATTAAACTTAACGTTAATTCTTGCTGATGTTCATTAAATTACGCTTTGAATACTCTCGCAGATATTTACGGTTGAAAATTTGACTATTTTGTATACTAATTTTTCTCATTTCTCATGTTCTATCGAGGGTTGTTTTTTTTTTTTTTTTTTTTTTTTTTTTTTTTTTTTTTTTTTTTTTGTAGTAAATATAGATTTTCAACAGGCTTGCAGTGTTATAGAATTATTACAGAATTTATTAGTTATGTCATTATCTTGATCCAGAGGCGTACAAATGTACAAATTCTTTGCATGCTTGTGATCTAAAATCATAGAAAAATTCAGTTCCTTTCCTAAAGCTTGGAATCATATATCCGGAAAAAACACATTGTACTACATCGTGTGGCCAAAAAGTCTGTTACTCTTTCGGGTAAAATTTTAGAATAGCTCCTATTGAAAGAATTCTTCCAATCCTAAATTCTCAAAATATAATCCCCGACCATCAATTTGGTTTTCGCAAGTGCCTCTCCACTCTCCAACAGTGCCATCGCGCGGTAGACACATCTCCTCGCTTGAGTTGAGACATTACTAGTCTCAGTTCTGGGGCCTTTCTTGACTAATGCCAAGCTTTTGAACGAGTTTGGTACCCGGACTTGCTGTTCATTCTCCCCTTCCCTTCATCTACTATCTCACATTGCACACCAACCTCACCGGTTGTTCCGAGCCATTGAGAGCAATTCCTTCTTTGCATATTTCCCTATCCTTGCTGGCGTTTCTCAGGGTAGAGTTCTGGCCGCGACACTATATTAGGTTTCACATCTGACTTCCATTACTCTCTAGTAACACCGTTCCTGTCATTTCCACTCGAAACCTAAAGCAACACCTCACACTACTAGAGTCTTGGAGTGAAAACAAAAGACAAGCGTTCTTGATAAACGTTCTGACTTTCATCTCAAAAATAAAAGGCTTCATTACAACACCATAGTTAAGCCGATATGGACTTACTTGGAAGTGTTGGGTTCAAGAAAACAACATCCGCCGCATCCAAACTGCCCAATCATTTTAATCTTACGAAAAATCTTTGATGTAACTATGCTAATGCTTAGTTAATGGTCCATTTTATGTAACTACAAATACAGACTTAAATATTCCTTCCGTTCAAGATGAAATTCATTCCAGTTACCGCAAATTCACAAAACCCTCCCAAACACTATAAATCAGCACATCCAAAAAACTAGCATTTCGAATTCCCTCGAACCCTTCTCGCCGACTCAAAGTGATAAAGACGCAAGTATTAATTTATACTTCAATTAAATAGACAATTTAGCATCACTGTAGTACAACTAATGGGTATTTTCTCCGCTCTTGTTTTTAATTTTGAATACATGCATTTCCTATCTCATTGTTACGTTTTAACGTATTGAAGGTAGTTGTAATGTACTGCAAATTAAAAAATATTAACTTTATTATTTTTATTATTATTATTTTTATTTTGGTCGTATCTAATCATTTTGTAGCCTGCTTATTTCCGCTGTTTTGGTTGGTCCGGCGCGTTTCATTTCCCCTTCTCAACAGGTCGGCTTTTATTGGTGTCCCGCCCTGCTTATAACCCAGAACAACCACGGTAGATTGCGAGAAGCCGAAACTCTTTTTTAAGTGGTTAATAGTTTCATTTAAGTTTGACAAATGAATGTTAAAATTGACCGCAAAATATAGCATTTCACCGTGAATTGAAATATTTGTTAAATCTACAAGATTACGTGTGGAATAAAATTAAAATCTGTCAAAAAAAATTCATTTCCAGTAATAAAATTGACTTTAAATGCGACACAGCGAGATTAAGAGAACCGTCATGTTTGAACGTTTAGCAATCATTTGTCGCCATATTCTCAATTGTTTTTGGCTATTGGTCTTACCATTTACTACTTTTTGATGGTTTAAAAGAATTACGTGACACTTTCTTTACGAGTGCGTTCAATCAAAAGCTAATACCAAATAAAATCATCAGTGACAAACCTTTTATCTATTCAAAATTGTCTACCTCATTTCTAGATGACGCGTTCTATTTAACTTGAACATCCATGTTTATGGCACTTCTCCTTTTATGAAAATAATCTAGAATTTTTTTTTTTTACACTTTTTTATTAATAATTTTATGGTTTTAGAGGCCGTGTCCAATTTAAGTTATCTTTCCATACCAAGTAGTAGTAATATTAAATCATTCACAGTACACACTGTTTATGTTCTTCAATAATATTAATGTTATTTATTTCCATATTTTGGAACATACAGCACACTTGAAGTCAAATAGTATGTTCATAAATAATTTTTAAAAATTTATTTTCAGAAATGCAAAGCTAGTGGTGAATGTCGTGAACTAGTCTGTGCTGGAAGGATTGATGGAATATATGCAGATCCTATAGAAAATTGCACTCGCGTTTATAAATGTACTGCTGGTAAAGTCAGCCATGTGCACACCTGTGCAAAAGATGGAGCGCAATGCAGTGAGATCGAAAAAGAAAATAATTGTCCGGAAATAAATTATTCGACAGCTTTAATATTGAGAAAACGTGATATTTGCAAAACAAGAACAAACGACTTATATGCTTTGAAAGATTGTTCAAGATATGTTAAATGTTTGGACGGAAAGGAGGTTTCGCTTAAAACATGTCCAAGCGGAAGAAAGTTCAATGGTACATTGTGTGTTGAAAACTATGAATGTGGTAATATATGTACAGCAAAAGAAGATGGTTTTTATGCAGATGAGGAGGCCGAATGCCAACAATATGTTTCCTGCAAGAATCAGCTTGTCAAATCTAGACATCAATGCCCTTCCGGAACTGTTTATGATGGTTCTTCTTGCATAGTTAGCTCAACAAATGTGTGTCCTTCATTCAAAAAATGCCAAGGGAAGCAAGATGCAGATTACTTCCGTAATTGTTCGAGTTACTTTGAATGTTCTAATGAAGCTGTGATCTATGAAAAAAGTTGCCCGGATGGGGAGAATTTCAATGGGACTAATTGTGTACCTCAAAATATGTTCTTCTGTCAAGGACCAAATCTAAGTCCTGATTGTTTGGGCAAAAACGGCTTCTTTTTCAACCAATATTCTGGATGCAATGCATATCATTTCTGCGCCTTTGGAAATAAGCTTGTTTTCAGATGTCCTGAAAACCATATTTTTAATGGAAAGCGTTGTGTTTTAAAGAACCAATTCCAATGTCCAAATAAGACAAACCTGTGTGAAGAGAAGTTTGATGGTCACAACCACGATATGGAATCAAAATGCTTAATGTATCAGGTTTGTTTTGAAGATGATCTAAACAAACATCTTGTAACATTGCCTTGTCCACAAGGAGAAATTTTTAATGGTCAAGAATGTGTAAAGCCATCAATGATCGTCTGTCCTTACAAAGACAAAGAGTGTAAAAATAAAAGTGATGGCTATTACACATACAAACTTATAAAAGAAAACTACTTCTGCAAAAACAGTTCAAAACTGATGTCAAAACTGACACTGAAATGTGGTACCAATTCTTCTGGTTGTAACTTTTATTCTCATCCTGAAAACATCTGCTTGGAAGTCAAAAAAGGGTATTTAACTGACACAAAGTGCAGAATGTACTATGTCTGTACAAACTACAGTTTAACATCTTATGGTAAATGTGAGCCTACTCATGTCTTCAATGGAGAAACTTGTGTAGACAGCAATAGTTTTCAGTGTCCAGCACAGTCAAAATCATGCCAAGGGTTAATAAATGGTTTCTATCAGGATATTGATTCTGGGCGTAAAAAATATTTCTTTTGCCTTAATGGGGTGAAAACTGAATTTTCCTGTCCAGAAGGAAAAGTACACAATGAGGATGTTTGGGAACTAAACAACAACTTTAAATGTACAACATTTCTTTCCAGGCCAAATTTTATTCATGTGACTTAGTGTTACTTGTTATTCCTTGGTTTTAGTATGTTTTTGGTTATTTTACATGTATTGTTGTATATAAAAAGTTTTATTGCCACTAAATGAGAAAATTTCTTTTTAATTGAGCTATGTAAGAAGAATACCTGTACTTTTGTAATGTATTTTCTATCATTTTTACACAATGTACTGAAAAAAATAATTGTATAAAGCTAGTTTTTTAGTTGTTCAATTAGATAGTATTTTTAAAAATTTAATTAATTGGTAAACAAAAAAGTGAATCTTACTTGAATATATTGTATATTTATTTATTTATTATTTTAGGAAATTATTTCCTGGTTTGAGTTCCCTTAAACAGTAGATTAAAATATTATCATTAAATAAAAGCACTTTGTTTATTGAACAATTCTGTCTCAAATGTACAAAAAAAAATTAATCTAAAAATATAATCTAAATATCATTAATAGCTATGATTTTCCATTTACATATTTCATGAACAGTGAGGATAAAGAGATGAGCCAGTATTTCTCAAGTTTATTTATTTATTCACTATTAAATTAAGTTTGAATGTGGATCAGGTATGTAGTCAAATGAAAGAAACTATTAAAGTTTTCCCATAGTGTCATGGAGGTGCTATAAAAAACAGCCCAGTATTGGTAATCCAAGGCTATTAAACACACTGGATTAGTCAATTCAGTTGAAGCAAACCAAAACAAAATGTTTGATATGATATAACTGGAAGAACACCATATCACACTGCAGGCAAAACATGTATAGTCAGCCATATGTAAACCATGGTAGTGAAGACTCCTTTTCGGTGTATGGACTGACTATATGACTATACAAATTAAAATATTATATATTGGTGTACCTGAAATATTTTGATGTACTTGTACCATAATTAAATGGTGGCATGGCTTTTTATGAACGTTACTATTCATTGGACTATTATTTTGAAAGGGTTACATCATACATTTTTGCTCTTCAAATTGCGTGTTTAAATATTCATTTCCTCACCTCTGATAATTTATCTGTGTATGGAATTAAATTTTTTTTTAAATGTCAAGTTGGGTTTTTAAAATTCCTTTGGCTTTGTTTTGGACTAAAGAAAATGAATCATTGTGCCCACAACCTTCTCAATTGCAACATTCAACCATTTCTTGAAAGATAGAAGTGTGAGACTTCGATATAGTATGTGCTACTTTTGTTCGGCAATGCTTGAAACAAACCAAGACTTACAAAACACCAGCCAATGACTGATTTTGCCTGGAGCAGACTGATCACTGAAGCAAACAAAATGTTAGACTTGGCTGGTGTGATTTATCCCCATTCTCAAAGTTTAACCCGGTTTGCTTCACACAGTCTAGGGCAGCGTGTTGCAACTTCAGGCTGCTTTGGCTAATCCCGTGTTTTGAACTTCAAACATCAGTCAAATATTAATAGTTCAATTAAAGTGATAAAATGTACATTGTACATGACTGTGCAATTAATACTTATTCCTTCTGTATGCTTCCCATTCCACTAACACTAATATAGTGTCTTTTTATTACAATTTTCTAACAAAATATATATATATATATATAAACTTCTACAAAAAAATAAGTAAATAAATAAATAAAATGGTAACGAGTGGTTAGGGCAACTGACTCCTATTTGCCACACTAGCAATTCTGAGTTAGAATTTCAGAACAGCCATGAAATTTTAGTTGGCAATATATAAAAAATGATTTTCTAATTATGAATATTGGGTTAAAAGAAAGACAGCATTGCGTGGCAGTTGAATTTATTTCATTTCCAGCGATAAAGCATTAAGCATTCTGAGTGTAGAATTTTGAGGTATAACAACCAGAAATCAATACAATACACGTCAATATTATATCTTTTTGCTTACAAAATTTTTGTCTGCATTTCTTTGTGAAGGCAATAACAGCACGATCTCTTGAAGGTTGTGTCCTAAACCAGTGGATGTCCCTGGCAGCCTGGCTAGAAAAATTCTTAGTACTATTCATAATGTTTTAAGAACATGGTGAGATAGGAAATGCTTTTCTAAAAATGAATTTTAGAAAAGATAAAAGATGGAAGAAACCAAAATTCTATGCTTTGAATGCTGAAGATGAGCTTTATATCCCATCTCTAAATAAATTCAACTCCTTGGAATACCTGGTTTCTTTCGACCTATTAAACATCATTAGAAAATCATTTTCTATTGCACTGTGGACATAACATTATGAATATGTAAAAAGTATTGCAAAGGATACCCCTCGCCCACAACTCTAACTTGGATGTTAAGCTCTCCTGTATGACAGGCATTATTTTACTTTATATAGTAACTTCTTGACCATCAGTAAGTATAAAAACAAAAAATGATGGACTGAGTATATTAATTTGAGAGTAGTTTATGAGTATAACCATCCTTTTCAATGATTGATCAGTAAGTGGTATGATCAATCTTTTGTTGTCTTGTAGTGATAATTTGCATAACAATTCTTGCAAAACGTATGAACAACATGGGTTTATGGGGCCATTTCTTACAGTACTCAATTTGAAGTGAAACATTTAAATTTATGGGCTATTTTGTGAGATTTCAAGCTTATAGATAACTTTTAACATTCTAAATTTGTTCTTCGGTTTTCAATTAACGTTAGTTTTAAAATAATATTTTACTATTGTTACACATCGTTTCCAGTGAATTAAAAGGGTTTTTATTTACAAACGTACATTTGGAATTTCAAAGGAAAATGTCATGGGATCAAGAAGACCTTGACACGCGCTATAGCTGTAGTTGTAGATGGTGTTACTGCAGGCAGGGACGTTCGGAGGTTAATGTGTAAACACTAGGCGATTGCTTTTTGCCTCCTTGCCGGTTTTTCTTTTAATTTTACTTATTAGATTTTCGATACCGGATTTATTGTTCTTTTCGCATCAAGTGGGAAAAAACTTATTCACCATGGTAAGCCTAATTTATAATTACTAAGTTTCATTATAGTCAAGCCTTACTAACGGCATGGGATTCGGCGTATTCAAACAAAATTTTGATGGAATTGCCAAATAGTTTTCGTCGAAATTTTGAATTTCTATGCTTTCAGGGTTTATATTTGTCTTTCAGAGCGCATATATGTTATTATGTTTGCTTTAATATGCCCTGAGCATCATACGTTATTCTTACGTTTTAGTACATTGAAAGGAAACTGCTTTAAAAAAAAGTTAATAATTTATAAAACGCTAATTTTTCTTTCTTTCATTATTTTAGACGGTCGGAAAAAACAATAAAATGCTGCAGCATATAAACTACAGGGTCCGAATTATACTGCAGGACTCCAGGACGTTTATAGGCACTTTTAAAGGTTGTTAAATTATTTAATCGCAATAGATTAATTATTGTGCATTAAAGCGAAAAGTAATTTCAAGTGAAATAATTCTCTTTTAGCATTTGACAAACATATGAATCTTATATTGGGAGACTGCGAAGAGTTTAGAAAGATCAAACCAAAAAATACAAAACAGCCGGAGAGAGAGGAAAAGCGTGTTTTGGGTTTCGTACTTCTTCGTGGGGAAAATATTGTCTCTCTTACAGTAGAAGGACCTCCTCCACCAGAGGAAGGTCTTCCACGAGTACCACTTCCAGGTGGTGGTGCAGGTCTTGGAACTGCAAGGCCAGCTGGTAGAGGAGTACCGACACCAGGAACTGCAGTAGCCCCAGGTATGGTTAAACCAATTAATAGTTAAGATACATGCTGTTCATTACCATTTCTAGACTTATAACATTAAAAAAAAACCTATAGGATTACAAGGGCCGGTTAGAGGGGTTGGAGGTCCCTCGGCACAAGTTATGGCTCCTACTAGTCGTGGACAAGTTTCAGCCCCGCCACAAATGAGAGCTCCACCTCCAGGAATTCCTCCATTGATGGGCGCCCCAACAATGATGAGTAAGTAACAATTGTAAAAGTCAGTTTGTACATTTTTTCTTTTACAATTAAGATTTAACAGATATGCCACCAAATATGCCAATGGGACGCGGAGGACCTCCACCACCGATGGTCGGCCCTCCTACTCCATCACTCAGAGGACCTCCTCCAGGAATGATGAGAGGTATGATTTCTGTTTATTTTGTTTTAAAAAAAAAGTTGTAATAAATTTAATTTTTTTCAGGACCGCCCCCTTACTAAATAACTATGTATGAGTGGATCAAATTTTATTGCATGTGTGCAATCAACCACAATGATTTACCTTTATATGTACAATTTGGTGTAAAAAGTAATTACATACAATTTTCATTTCTTTCTTTATCCAATCTTTGCATTTCTGTACACCCTTGATGCTTCCAAGAGCTGCTTGCTGCTTAAAATTTGAAGTGACTAACAACAGTAGAGGGATAGAAGAAGATAAGGTCAAGTGAATACAATAATTCCCTGGTTGAAAAAGAGGTAGTTGTAAAATTTTAGTTTGTAGTTGAGCGATTATTAACTATCACAACAATTTCTGCCAAATCTAGGTCATTAAACTGATTACAGCTTTAGATATGTTTTACAGCAGACTGCAATGTTCAATTTTGTTGCTTATTTGATGAGCTCATTATAGTTTAATAAAATACATAACTTCCGTAGAGCAAATGAAAAGAAAGGGTCACCTTCAATGCTGGTGGAATTTCAATTTTTCACCCCACCCCTCAGCTTGCAATTTTTTTTATTATGCATTGTAAGCTGTGTCCAGGTCAACTATCGCACTGGTTGGAATACTACTTAAAATTTCATATTTCAAGCCATATTATTAATTTTTAATTATTACAAACAAAATGTTGAATATCGCATGCTATTAGACCTCAAAAGTTTTGTGGTATAAAGCATATTGTATTGTTCCAATTAACTTATTTACCCCTCAATGTACATAATCTGGCTGAGAGTCTCACTCCAAAACATGCTGTGGCCAGAGGTACGTTAATTTATATTTTCATCTAGATTATTCTGCATTTTTTGATTATTGAACTAGTATATTAAACTGATCAGACTTGACTACTGGGTCTATCTGTTCTATGGGTTTAGAACTTTGTTCCTCTGTGAAGATGGCATAACACAAAACATTTGTGTAACATCTAAATCCTGAGAGAATAAATGATTTAACGATTAGTTTAACAGCATTAATTTCGGCGCCCAGAAAGCAACCATCACCAACTAAAGCTTGTGCATTACATTTTCTGCTCATGCATGCAAAAAGCTTGCACCAAGAAGTAGGTGTGTAGTTTGGTTTCTGATTTTTTGGCCTGTCCTACGTACAAACTACAGTTTCACACAAGAGAACTGATGGTAACAATTCAACGAGTGAGATTAACAACAAATATGAAACAGTAAGTGAGCAAACTAGAATGTATTAAAAATTCTCAATTATGAGCTTTGTACAGCTGTTAATTCACAATAATTAGACAAATAAAGAGCTTTATATTAATATTTACAATAAATGAAGAGTAAGACAGGAGACCAATATCCTGTGTAGTGATCATAAGAATTATGGAGTGACCAAGTCGTTAAGGCATCTGGTTCATATTAGTGGTTCAGATTACTCTTGGAATTTAATATGAGTGTTAAGGGGAAAGGTATTGTGCGGGTAATTGGAACTACTTTTTATGTAATAGTGCTACTTGCATTAAAACATAAAAAAAAATTTTAAAACCCTACTAGATCTTGCAGACAGTAGGAAGTTATTTAAAAATCATAACTGTTCAATGTCTAAAGAATTCCGTAAATTGTTCAAAGAGGCAGTTGAGGCCCGCCAACAAATAACACTTGCACTGCCATCGGAAAAAAAAAACAGACTAGTGACCGTTAGTCGATAATTATTCAGAAATCGTGAGATGCGGCCTGGTGTGATGTAGGTTTCAGAAAAACGTTTTCTTTATCGTGCCAATGTTTTGACATTTAATGAAATCATCTTCAAGGCCTGGGATTTACAAACATTGTTTAAATTTAACAAATACCTCGATCCACTCGGACACCAACTTCCCGTATCCGGCGTATCAAGCCGAAGATCGTGGGTTCGAATCCCGCTCGTGCCATTGACTTTTTTATCTCAACTAAAAACCTTAATTAATTGTAATATATTAATTGGTCAAGCGGACCACGAAATTAGTGAATTTAAAGATCAATAACATTTTTGTTCAAAATTTTCAAAGAAAATTACTTTACATTCAGGAAAGACCTAATAGAAGAATACATTGGTGGGTAGATTAAAAAATAGACCACAAAGTGAAAAAAAATTCTTTGGGTCTTGGAAGACCCATGACAGCAGTGCAAGTGTCGAGTAGTAATAAAACTGGAAGAGAAAAAGTTTCAAGGCTCCGCTACAATCACAGAGCATAATACATCAACTAGATAAAATATTCAAATCAAATTAATTTTGTTTTACTTGGATGTTGGAACAAAATCAGTTATATAACAAATAATGTTTGTTAACAGTCATGAAATTATTCAATTAAGGTAAAAAGTAACTAGTAGTTGTCATTTGGTATAAAACAAAGGTATTAAGTTGTTGGGAGCATATACTTTTTATCAAATTCAATATCCAAATTATGTTATACAGTCAAAAAAAGGCCATTTCATTTTTTCTAACCATTTTTGTATCGTAATAGTGACACATACTTCATGAATCAAAAGATATTTGTTTGTAGATGGTAATGTAGCACATACTAAAAATGGGGAAACGAGATAAGAGAATTTTCTCGCAGTGAGACTGTTTTAAAAAAAGTATAAGAATATATTAAGGACATATATATAACAAATGACAATTACATTTATATTTTTTACTTATGTTATTTACATTACAATTACAAAACATAAAATTTGATTAAATAAAAATCAATTATTTACCTCTTAACAGAATTAGTTGTTTTTTTGATTAGACACAATGTGTTATCATTGTACATTAAGAGCCAGCATTAAAAATTATGAAACAGATTCAACAGCATGTTCATTACTCAATAACATTTGTGGTAACTGATTTAAACTTTTATAACACAACATAATTTTACTTTAATAACTAACATGATAAATAAAAGTCTCGACTATTTACACAAACAAATAAATAACATTTATTATTTACCTTACAATAACGTTAAATATAAGTCTATAAAACATTCTCTTGAATTCAGTTTTGTGGTGTCCACTTTTTCTAATGCCAAATTTCATTGCACAGTTTAATTAATTACAAATAAAACAAGTTGTTTAAAAAAAAATGCTTTTTTGACACAAAAAATTAATGTATAGAGCGTGGTTGTTCTTTGTAAATTGCTATAATTAATATATACGGAAAAAATTTAATGTGAGAAGAACATGATTCCATGGTCCCACTAAAAACTTTGTGAAATTGTAATTGACCATCAATATAAGAAAATATGATCTAAATATCAGCAGCATATGATTGTTCCTGCACTTACATATCTCATAAATATTAAGAGGCCACGAAGGTTATTGTATTTATTTGATTACTTATGGTGTATATTTTGACATTACTTCATTTATGTATGTAATATATTTAATAAATATTAAAAAAGTAATTCACTAAACAATATTTTAGTCAATATTTTATAACAACATAAAAAAGCAATTTTCAAGACATAGGCTGCAATATTGACTATAACAGTTGAGATACGTCCCACAATTTCATCACTCGATCTTGGCCAATGGTCAACAAACGTTTCTGTTGTTCATCCAAATCCATCCAAGAAATTGAATGTTTAGCTTCTAGGAATGTAGCCATTGATGGATTTCTGAGAAAAAGCCAATTAAATTAGTATAAAATAGGTATATGTTTATTTAGTGTTTATTTAGAATTTTTCATGAAAAATACTAAATTTTGTTAATACTAAATGCTAAATGTTTTTTGTTAGTTATTATAGTTACTATGCTATTAATGCTTCTAGTCTATAAACTTTTACATTTTAACTTTGAATGATAATCAATTAATCTAATTGATCTCATACTTGGTTTGCTTTCCAATATAATTTCATGAACATAAACTATTTTACAAATTTATGAGACTATTTCAGATTGAGAATCCGATAAGCACAAGATAATTTAAAGAAATTTTCTATTTATATCCCATTCTTATTTATCACTTTTTTATGAGGGAATTTCAACTATATGAAGTTACATGAGTCCTTGAGGTGCTGGTATTAAAAAAAAAGTAGTTTATTGGCTTGATTGTTTTCTATAATTTTGGTGTGCTTATCTTTGTTGTTTTAATCTACCAAACAAGTTTTAGAGACTGAAACACATCTGAAGACCAAAATGATCTAAAACAACCAAGTTACAGGCTCATCAGCCTGTAGATCTCAAGAATTCTTAATACTGTAATTAGTTTATACTGGTTTGCATTACATTAGGAAGTGTTTAAAATCTTGGGGATGGAAAAAACTATTTATTGACTTTGTTTTGAAAGGGATCAATGCAGAGGGGAATAAATCTATGTTGGTGTTGGTTCCTAGCCACATAGGTATAGCCGGGAATGAAAAAGCACATTGGGCAGCCAGAGAAGCTGCTGGAAGGATATATGATGTTTACCAAACTGTACACACAGCAGATTTAAAACCACTAGTTTCAATTATGCAAAAGCTAAGTGAAAAAACTGCTGGTTCGTAAAAATAGAAATAACACTGTCAAATTGTGGTAGATTACGAAAAACGTTGGTCCCAGTCCACGGAGAACAGGACAAAAAGAGAAGGCCATATTGACAAGACTAAGCATAAGCCATACAAGAATAGCACATAGTCGCTTTCCGGCTGGAAGGTTTATGCGAAACTAAAATAATGGTTAAGCACATTTTGAATTGAAGTTTATAGTCAATATTTTTATATGTTGTCAGACCTGGGCAAAGGTACAGCAAGGGGTACAAATCACTGTTCAAGTACCTCATGGCTGTAGGGATTTTGAAGGGGAACTACAATGTTATATGAACCTTTGGGGAGCATGTTTTTGGACAAAAAAGACCATTTTTAAGGATGTCGGGTTCGAATGCAGGACCACTGTATTCAAACCCAGGACCCTTACCTTACAGTCATGAGCGCCATCATGTCAACACTTAAATCACTGTGGCTCCCTATTTATATCCTTATATTATTACAAAATACTACCTAAATAAAGTTTAAATACTTACTCTTTCCCTTTCATGTTTGAATAACAGAGACTGCATACACGGACTGGAAACTCAAAACCAAGATTTGGTATTGGCATTGTTTGTGAGCTGCATGCGTCACACGTAGCCCTCCCACAGGCTCGGCAATGATGCTGCCTAATTCCAATAACATGCTTTTCAGCCATATCCCTGAAATTCCAAAAGAAAGGCCTTCGACAAAGTTGACAAGTACCAGACTCACACCAAGTCGGTGCCTGAAAACACAAAATAAATTATTAAATGTTCTAATCAATTAATACAATGACTTAAAAGACATTACCTCACTTCGTTGGGCAGTCATGTCCCAAAATACAGTAACTGTATCTTCACCAGCAGATATTAATACGCGTTTCACCAAGGCATAACAAAGCGCTGTAACTTTGTTTCTGCAATATCAGTTGATTATTTTAAAAAACTTTGGAAATTATTCAAATATGTTTGGTATGATTATTACCTATGACCTTGCAATTCATAGGCAATTCCCTGTTGACCTCCTATATCCCAGACAATCACACTTTGGTCATAGCTGCCAGAAAATAATCTCTGTGTAGACGGATCCCATGCTAGAGAACTTATACTTCCAGAGTGACCTTGGAATTTTGTTACCTTCTTCACCCCATACAAGTTGATAAATAGCATAGTGATGAAACCTGAATGGTCTCCAACAAAAGCATGATTTGAAGCAGAATCAAAACTGAAGTTTGATGTTAAGAATCAATGTTTTCACTTAAAGTTTTGGTTACTGATTAATACAAGAAATGGTTAAAGGATACACTAAAGCGGTGCACCATGCAGTCGTGGTGTAAGTCCCGAGGTTAACACCAGATTCTGAGCAAGATTGTTTGAACTGTTTGTCTCTTCCTATTGAAAGAACCCACTCACAGTTGAGAGCGAAATGTATATTAGTGACTCTGCCTTGATGTGCAAGATAGTCTTTCACATGATTTAAACGATTATAATCATTTCCTAATGTGTATTCCTGAAATATAAAAAAACACTCATTATACACATTTTTCACAGTTTTCAACAACAGATTGAAATTATAAATGAATAAATATGCTTTTGAGAAAATAAATTAAAGAAATTTATTAAAAAATTTATTAAATTTAAAAAGAAAGAACAGCATAAAAAATAAATTATGAGATTTAGTTCTTGAGATCTGCAGGGTTATAATCAGGGATATAAGCAGGGTTATCCACCAACACAAACAACCTCTGAATATAGTGACATGAGAACTCTGACAGACCAAAACAGTAATTATATGTAAAACACGATAATAACAAACGACCAAACTACAGTTTAAAAAAGTCTGAAAAGCCGATGTAATTTACAGATGTTTAATAACTTAAACTAGTAAGAATGCTTAACTACTCGATTACATCATCAGTGTTTTATCAAATTTATTGCGTAAACCCTCTTTCTAAATTTAGCAATCTTACAATATGATTCTTAAGATAGGAATTTTGTTTTTTGTTGAAAACAGTTTTAAAACTTTATTTCTGAACATTTCTAAACATTAGGGACTCCACAACTTGCTTAGAGTTATCATACTTATGAACACGTCATAATCACTGACCAGCATCTCAAAGTATGGGCATGACTATTTCATTACTTTTCATATTACAATAATTTTTAGGGCCATATACAAATCAACAGTATAACAAATTCTTTTCAATTAATTAATCTTTAAGTAAGGTATTGGTCAAGATAAAAAAAGTCAGTGCTACAAGCGGGATTCGAACCCACGACCGCTAGATACGCCGCTGCTCTACCACTTAAGCTATCGTGACTTCGATCCACTCGGATACTAACTTCCCATCTCAACCTCACTTTTTTTTTCAAACTCTTGTAGACCGACCAACAATTTAGTATTATGTAGTAGTATTAAGTATTATATCCATGAACCAAGATCTTCCAGGATGATCATAGTTACAATTGTTAAGCTACTTGCAGATGATGAACCAAAGGCATACCAGGATGATCTCAAAGTTAGAAACAAGAAAAAAATGATAAATTTAACAAATTATTTTGTTTGTGAATCATATCAGGGTAATCAATAGAAACAATTCACACTAATTAGCGTGTTTTATCCATGTACCATAGGCATACTAGTATGTTCACAAAGTTAGAAACATTCAGAAACTTTTAATCGGCCAACAAATTATTTTTTATATGTGTGAACACACATATCAGGGTAATTAAAAACAAACAATACAAAAATTTCACTCTGGCCAATAACTTTACATGTAATATCCATGAACTATAGGCAAACCAGGATGTTGTGAGGCCCCAGCCCCCGACAGTATAAGTTAACGAATTTGTTAATTGGAGAAATAATTCACTTTAATGTAACGTGGAAATAAATATATTTTCTTTACTTATTTACAAACTTAATCAAATGTGAAAAATCAGGTAAGTGTGAGGCGAAAGCTGGACAGACTTTGCCTAAAGAAGATACAACCAAAATAATTCACCGGCTAGGAGGGTAGCTCCGTCCTCGCTCAGTGACTGATGAGGCCAAACCCATAATACAAATATGTTGTGCCCCTGGCAATGATCATAGACTACTAGAAACTTTAATAAATTTCCAACCGAACAACAAATTTATTACTTTACATCATTGAATCGTAGATATATCAGGACGATTGAAAACAAATAAACATTTTTAAAAAAATTAACTGAGAAATAAATGTACATTTTATGCCCATGAATCATAGGTATACCAGGATGATTTCTGACAGAAATATTCAATGACTTTCTTACCAACAAACAAATTTATGTTAATAATAAAGGTGGGGTGAGTATGTCAATTCACTTTTTGTAAAGGATGGTTCTACTCACAGATTTGTGGTTTACAACGATCCAGACAATAAACAAATGTATGTACTATGTCTATGAACGAATTAAGTGCTAAACTCTTTATTTTATAAAACATTAATTCTTTATTTAGAAGGTGTGTAAGAATGCTAAATGAAATGAGAATATTGCTTGAGCACGACGAGTATATGAGTCCCCTATTCCAATTATTGGAGGAAACACAGTTGTTTTATTGTATATAGTAATGATAGTTTTGTGTCCCCGAATATTTATTAGCATGGCTGTGTAGTGTGGGAAGGATCAATTAGGGAATATTGAGTACCACATCAACCCCTCAATTAGGTTAGTTATATAATAGATAGGTGTAAAGGATGATGGAGGAATGTCGAGTACTCCACCATCCTAACTGAATGAATGGTATGTAAATAGAGGAAATAATGCATTTAAGAGTGAGTACGAGTGTGAATGGGTTTGGATTTAGGAACTGATTGCATTAGGTGCTGAAATGACCTGGCTGGTGTCAGCACCCAGAGCCCAATCTCAGTGGCTGGACGGATAAGAATGAAGTTTGACCCGGACTGGCACACCTAGGGTGGGTGATTCTCGAGGCCTGCTGGTAATTTATATAAAGTTCAAAAACTGAAATGGCCGATAGACTGCGAGAAATGATAGACTCAATTCTGTACATGTGTGTGCATATGTACATGCATGTGCAGATTTGAGCTTATATCAGTTATTAATTCTCTATGATAATCACATCACACCAAGCTTACCGAAATAGTGCCGTTGTCGAGACCTACGAATAGCTGACGAGTTTCATGTTGATAGTACAAGGCACTTGCTGCTGCTGACATATAGTGACATATACTAGGCCAATATTGGCCCGTATCTCTTTTCAACCATACTCTAACGGTCCTGGTAATAGTTATAAAATTGAATTAAATAAATCCAGTTCATGAATACATTTGACCTGTTGAAGTGGTTGACATACCTGTCATCAGACACGCTGATGACACCTTCCTGCCCACGTATGATAACCGCCTGGTTGATGTCATCTATTGAGCCTTCTAATTTCGATAGTAGAACCAATTTCTTCGTTGAATTGAATTTATCACCGGAAGATCCAGTACCTGGGGTAATTTCAGCAGCCATAACTAACGAGAGCCAGCTCTTCAAACACGAACGGCCCCTTATTTACGTCTCCGTTCACATAAACGGACAGGACAGATTGTAAATCGAGGGTGAGTTTATTTAACAGACGGCACAAAGAACCTACTTAAAACATTAACTAAGGAACTAAAGAGTAAAGACTAAAGACGTACACTGTAGATAATCCAAAGGGTGGGGATGGAAGACTGGTGACACTGTTGTAACTGATGACATAGAGTCATAGACCCTGTTCCACCCCTAGACGTCAAAATACAATTTGTGTTAATAACAGACGGCTAACAAATAACTAAACAAATTCATAATCTTTACTAAAACTATATTATTTTTCAAAGAGACAACATCCTACAAACAACCTATGCAACACTCGTCGAAAAACCCCCATTTTTTCGTTTTCAGTAAACTGCTGTGTTTAGTTTCATTTTTGAATTTTGGTGTCGTTATTGAATATAGCTGTTCACCAAAATACAAATATATTATTAAAAGAGACAGTCAAATCTTTTTATCTTGTAAAACTAACCCTTTATCTTGTAAACCTAAAATAATTCATTTATTAAATTGAAAATATTTGGAGACGAAACCCCTATAAATTGCTGCAACATACACAAATCAGAATCACTATTAAATTGATTGACTTAATCCTTAAATGTAGTATGTATAGCAAAGAGTTTGAAAATACAAAACAAGATAAATACATACATTAAAATAAGATAAGATAAAATAAGATGATAGATAAATACTATTAAAAAATATAACAAACTTATGGATTACATATTGTCTTAAGTCAAGTAATTATTCTTAAGAATAAAAAGAAACAAAAATGATATATCTAAATTACTAAACTAGGTATCGTTAAAACAAGAAGAGCCATAAGGACTTTAATTCATACAAGCCTTAGGCAATATGCTATTGTTTTTCAAATGAAGTCTGTAGCTATTGAACACTGTGCTAAGGATATTAAAGGTATCGTTAAAAGAAGAAGAGCCATACAGATGGCTCCAAAACCAAATATTGGACAAGAGCTAGTATTTATGGAAATAAACCAAGGGCTTTAATTTTTATAAGCCTTGGGCAATATGCCATTGTCTTTCAAGTGGAGTGTATGGCTATTAAACACTGTACCAAGAAGATTAAAATGCTTGGTATTGTTAAAAGAAGAAGAGCCATAAAGATGGTCCAGATGGGTCAGGAGATGGTATTTGTGAAAATAAACCAAGGACTTTAATTTGTATAAAACTTAAGCAACGTGCCACTGTCTTTCAAGGGGGGGGGGGCTGTGGCTATTGAAACGCCAACAATATTAAACGTCTAGGTATCATTAACAGAAAAACAGCCACCTCCTCGGACAGCCAGGTGGCACTGAGGTCAATTACCACATTTGTGGTAAAAGCCGTTTAAAGTAATAATCCGTAAAAGGAGTTTAAATAATAATCTAAATTTTCATACTTCAAAACGTTTCCATGTCTGCCTTTCAAGATGCAATAATTATAGCAACTACGCTTACACAATCAATGACATCTCCCTCAACTCTGTTGACATTTGTAAGGACATCGGCATCTTGTTTCTCCAACAGCTAACATTCAAAAATAACAATTAAAGAAAAAATTCTCAAATTGGTAACTCATTTTGTTAAAAATTTTCAGAATATTTAGGTGTCAAAATTGTTATATATTTCTTTAGTCAGACTCATCATTGAATTCTCTTCTGTAGTGTGGATACTTCATTATCAGTATCTAAAACATTCTCTTGAACCTGTTCAGCATAGATCAACAAAAATTCCCTCATTTTTCATCCATTTATATTTCTTCATAAATTATTAAATAATCAGATAAACTGTCCAGAACTCTTCAAATTAATTAACTTTAACATTCCATCGCATAACACCAGAAACCCTAAAACTTTCAATGTAGACTTATGTAGGAACAATTCATTCAACATTCTTTTCATTTTCTAATCAACAGAGCTCAGAGGCAAGCCAACTTCATTGTCATTGATTTTTTCATTGATAAACGGTTTAAATTCCATTTCAAAATTGTCCTAGTGATAATATATTTTAAACTTATTTTTGTGTGTTCTTATATATTAACTTGGTATCTATACTTTAATTCTATTTTGTGTTTGCCCTGTTTTTTTAGAACATCCAAGCAATCTTGATTATCTTTTACTCTATTGGTCACAAAAGATAAAAAGTTGGCTTTTTCCTTTTTTATAATTGTTAATGCGAGTCATTAAAGTTTTAATGGCATTACTACAGAGCTTTGTCTAAGATATAAATTTTATTTTTATACCTTTTTGAATTTGGACGCGTATCCCCCCTTCCTTACATTGCAAATCTTTCTGGTTATTTTGAGTAAAAATAAATGTGCTATAACGAAATTTGTTTATTGATACTTTTATGTTTATTTTTTAATTGATTGAACGGCGAACATTGTAGAACTTATCCAATGAAGAATTATCAATATGTGAGAACGAGAGTTCGGTGTCACATGCATTTTAACCTCATAAGTGTTTTTTCCAATTTGTAGTTTTCGTTGTTTGTTATTTGTACCGATACAGTTCTTTTATGTGGTTGAGTTGTCTTGAATTCTAATTTAATTTTGTACAGAACATAATTTTCTTTTTTAAACACACCCAAGAAAAGTTTCAGCTCGCTTTCGCCTAAAATGTCTCCGTCCGTTATAAGGAAATTATGCTAGATATTCTTGCCATTTTTCCCTTCCCACTATTTTAATTCATATAACGAATTTCATAATAATGGATATGGAAGAAGTAATTCAAAGACATAGAAAAGAAAAAAAAGATCTTCAGAGTAGGTTTCCAGAGTAGCAAACTCTCGAGGATAATACTTTAAAAACTGTATTTATTGATTTTGTTTCTCACTGAACAGGTAAAATTCAAGCACTTAAGAAAACAGCAGTCAAAGGTGATAAAAAGAAGAAGAAAGAAGTACAAGACGAAATATTGAAGCTGGAAAACGATTTAGACAAAAAGCATAATGAAGAATTGTCCCAGATGACAAATGGGCCAAATCCTGTTGAAGAAGTGGCAAATGCAAGTTTCTTTTAACTATCTTTCAATTTATACTTACTTTTTAAAGTAAAATTCTCATACTTTCTTCTTATCAGGTTTCAACAGTAACTGAAAAGTTAACCAATCTAACCACCGAACCGCCGAACCAGGAGGATGGTCTCGATGAAGTTCCTGGTCTGAAGCAACACAGGATATCGAAAGCCCAAAAACGAAGGGACAAGAAAATGACTCAAAGCAAAGAGCGAGAGTTGAGAATAATCGAACAGGAAGCCGAGGCTTTGTATGGAGGGAGGAATGTTGAAACTGAAACGATAAAGAAAATACTTAAAGAAAGGGGATTGCAGATACATGAAATTCCCTCTGATGGAAACTGGTATGGAACATTTACTTCATTATGTATGAAGTTCAAGTTATGCCCATTTTTAGCAGCCCAGCTAATTGAGTTTGTCTTCCTGAATTCTTACAATTGCAACTTTTAAGTCAGGTGGTGGGAAGTAATTGTCAATTTGGGAGCAATAGTTTCTGGATTTTGGAAATTGTATGGGGCCTTATTTGGGATGGAATGGCCATTACACCTCCACTTGTCAGGACAATTCTCCTCTATTCTTATCCAGATCCTCTCTTAGTCTCATTGTTCTCAAACAAAACCTAGACTTTTTTAAAAACTAACATGTTAGCTCAATTTTGTTTAAAGTGATAGATGCAGATTCTTGCTCAATTAAACCAAGCACTTCTATCCCTTGTCTGAAGTTGTGGAATTTTTACCACTAATATTCTCAAAGCTAACATTAGAATTTACCTTACAGTACTTTAACAGGCTGTCATAATTGATCTAAATGTGCATTGACTGAATTATTTTCTACATTAAATGTTATTCTAATTTAGTTACTTTTCCTGTTCCAGCCTTTATTGTGCTGTGGATCATCAATTAAAAACACATAGAGGTGCGAATCTTGGTGTTGAACATCTGAGGAAGAAGACAAGCACTATACTACGACAAAACTACAAAGAGTACCTTCCATTTCTCTCGCATCCCGATACTGGTGAAATGTTCACTGAAAGCCAGTTTTATGATTATTGCGATCAAGTTATGGAAACTGAAGTCTGGGGCGGACATATTGAAGTAAGTCGAATTTGTCATTCATCAATTACATTTTTGTTCTTATTTTCGCTTTTGATTTTTACAGTTAAGAGCTCTTTCTGAGGCTTTACAGTGCTGTATTGAAGTCATTCAGTCCGAGGGTCCATCGATTATAATAGGAGAGCATTATAATAAAAATGGAGAGCATAATTTAATCCTGACTTATCATAGAAAAATGTATAGCTTAGGAGAGCATTATAACTCTGTTGAGGAATACGTTGAAGAAGTACCAGAATTTTAGCTTCAAGTGCACAGAATTGAAAGTCAGCAATTATGCTTAAAGTCAAAAGATAATTTCCAAATTTTTGTTCATATTTAGAAATTTTTTCTTTTTTTGTTGTTTAAAAACGCTTGTTATTTCTGATGGGAGGGCAGTACTTAACGCTAATCACTTCTCAATACACCTCCAAAGGTATCAGATGTTCTAAGGAAATATTTTATTTCTAGTCAGGTGAGGTTTGCCCAGAAGGTTGATTTCTTTTTATAGACATTATTGTTAAATTCTTTAAAATAATAACACTTACTAGATTAAAAACAAAAATGATCATTTTATTTGTCATCATTTATTTGTATTGATAAAATGTCTTTAAAGTTTCATGCCATGTAAAACTTAAAGGTATGTATTTTATAATGAAAATAAAACGTTTGTTAATGTGTTTTTGTGTATTACTTTTGGCTGTATAATTAATTATTTCATTTTTTACATGTAATTTTTTCACACAGAAAAATAGGGAATCGAACCCCCATCCATAAAGGTCTATGAAAGATAAAGAGGTTGTCTCAGGTGACTAATACACTCATAGTCCCTGTGCCACATTATGACAAGGAAATGTCTGGATGTACTGGTCTACAATGTGAACTTAAAGTTGCCCAGGACACCATTTGACTTGTAGTATCACTGTCCAAGCCAGTAAAGCCCTTAGTCCAACAGGGGTCAGTGCAGATCTATACTTCAACAGTTTGGGAGTGCCGTGAGCATAGACATGGGCTGTCTATTATGCTGAAGCGATTGCGTCTACCATGACCACTGAGGATCTACTTTTTTAACTGTTTAAAACTGAATTGCTGCTGTGTTCCAACGGCAGGAAAGGAAAGTCTCATTATAGTGTCCTTTTTTGCAATTTTGCCAATAACAATTCCATTGTGCAACATACATAGGTTAAGTGTTGTCCAAGGAATGACAAAGGCACTTAGTTATACCTGAACGGTAGGATGATGGAGCATGCCAGCCTCCTTGGCATGCTTATCAGCTCGCTCATTACCCTCTTGACCCATGGGTGCTTTAACCGAAGTCCATCCCAATTCCTCCAATAAAAAACATACTTTTGTTCTTTACGTCTTCAATGAGTGGCAAGTGACAGTTTCCATTCCTCAACATGTCAAGAGTGATGGGGGTGTCTGTTGTCAAGAAATATGTAATTCTTCAAGTATTGCGAGTGCACGAACCACAGGCAAGTAGAGATGTGCAGTGTGAGGTGGCTTCTTCATGTTTAAATTTATCATGTTATGCTATGAATTACAATAATGATTAAAATTATTGTAACCAAATTTGTAGGTGTAAATTGTAATTTACGTACGTACATTTTTTAAATAATTATATATATATATTTTTTTTTTAATTGACACACAGTCCAGTGCTATAATGTGTTATTAAATTTACATTAGTAGTTAAAAGAATAATACAATGCAAGAAAATTATTTCAAAGGGGGAGTCTAATAATAATTTTCTTAACATTTTACACATGAATTGAGAAAAGTGAAACTTATTAAAATTGAGTATTATTAAGTATAGAGAAATCGGAAAGTTTTGATTTAGATCTGATTTTCTGATTCTAGATCTGTATTTATTATCAACTAGAATTTTAATTTGCAGTTTGTTCATTTCTAATCATTTTAGTCTGCCTGTCCTTGGTATGCCAGACACATTTCAGCTCTCGCTATCACCAACCTCTTCAGTGTTAGGTCTGTCATGAGTTACACGTTCAGGATATCAACCAGAGAAGATCAAGATAATAGTAGACTACCAAATCATAATTTTGAATGTTTATTGTGGCAAAGCTAATTTAGGTACTGACCCACTGCTGAAGATGACAAGAAGCTCACTGCCAAAAAGTGGTTTGAAAAGTTTAAAAAAGTACTCAACCAAACATAAAGCATCACCTTTTGTTGGAGTTTTCAGTTTTCGCATCAATGGTCAGAGTGAATAGTTTCGCAGGGTTAGACAAACAAAAATTAGTGCACTTTATCCTCTTTTTTTTAAGTAAAGAAAAGTACAAAATGTACATTAAGATAACCAAAAATGAGATGAATGAGAAAAACTTTATGACTCTTCTTGTAGCTTGGTTTCCTCCTTGGTTTTATTTGGATCATCTGGTTTCATCGCAGGGAAGAATAATACTTCCTGAAAAAGAAATTATCGTTTTACTCATAATTGAGAATTTTGAAACTAAAAACAAACCTTGATGTTATTTGAGTCTGTAAGGAACATTGTAAGTCTATCGATTCCCAGGCCCCAACCACCAGTTGGAGGGAGGCCATACTCGAGGGCAGTACAGAAATTTTCGTCAACAGCCTGTGCCTCATCATCTCCAGCTGCTTTATCCTGAAGAAGCGATGTATAAAGATTTTGCATTTAAAACTCAATAATTGCAATAACTACTTTAGCTTGTTGGTTAAATCGATCTCTCTGAACTTGAGGATCGTTAAGTTCCGTATAAGCATTGCAGATTTCTTTCTTCATAACAAACAACTCGAACCTTTCAGTAAGGCCTGGTGTGTTACGATGCCATTTGGCCAAAGGGGACATGATTTGTGGATGTTCCAAAATAAATGTTGGATGAATGCATTTTTCCTCCAGGTATTCACCGACCAACTAAAATATCATTTAATAATTAAATCACGTAAATTAACATGAAATGAGTTATGCTCTAAATCAAGGTAGAGATAGTCACAGTAAATTGCCAAAGTGTGACTGCTTGACATGTACTTGGCTGGGTTGTGACGGGATGAGTTTGCAGGACATAGACATATTGCTCTGTTGCATTCGGACGGAGAAAGGCAAATGTCTTAGATGCCTTGTCTCCCAATATTCACCCCTGAATCAAATAGGTCGCGAACATAATTAATTAAATTTTTAATTATTTTAGAACTGTAAATTAAGTTATAGTTATAATTTATTTTATTAAGTTATAGTTGAAATAATTAATGGCTAGATTTCAATTAAACACGACAGCTCAAGTGGATAGAGCAGCGGTGTATTGAGCCGAAGGTCATGGGTTCTAATCCCGCTTGTGACATTAACTTTTTCATCTCAACCAAGACGTTACATAAAAAGAATGAAATAATTAAGTAGTAGTGCACCATAACCTTAAGAAATGAAATAACACTCTGCAGCTATAATGTAAAGACAAATTTGAATATACAAAATAATTCAAAATAGAGAGACCTTTGGCGAGTATCATTGTTTAATAAATCTTCTTTATAAAGACAAAAATAATTGTTATATGTACTTTAGGATGACCAGAGAGCAATTTGAAACTCTACATGGAAAAATTGAAAGATAGAAGTTTTTGAAAGTGATCAGCACACGGGAAAGATTACACATGGAGGAGGTTGTGGGTTGTGTCAGAAGGGACCTTGTGTCAGTCTCCAACAAAAATCTGGACACTTTGTATCTCATCGTGTCTCAACCCATTAGGTGGAGCATCTGAAGGCATCTGACAAATGTCACATCCTTACACGTCCCGTCTCAACACGTCACAACACAGCCCGTTTGAACATTGTGTCCCCAGCCTAATCCAGTTGGGTAATTTCTGATCATTTTTGTCTACCAATCCTGACTGTTTTAGTTTCTCCTTATCTTCAATTGTGAATTTGTGTTGACTTTACCCTGCTTATATGCTTGACCAATCACTCAAATAAGGACAGAAATCAAATGATATATGATGTAATCACTTGAAATAAAATTTTATGAGAAACCAGCGAGGATAAGCACACCAAAATGGTTAAAAATGCCTAATCTACAGTTTATCACCTCGCGGACTTCAAGAGGAAATGTCATCAAAATGTTAATTAAAACTAAGAGTTAATCTACTATTTCAACCTTGTCAAGAAGCCTGGCAGCAGTTTGAGGAGGAGGACATTCAACACCAAATTGAATACAGAGTTTCTTTAAAGACTCCACAGCTTCAGGCGTTGAAAGCTTGTCAGGGGCAGGTAGTTTAACCTTTAACTCTTCTTCTAGAGCGGGGAACATACAGAGCTTTCTGAACGGAGGAGTGAAATCAATTTCATAGCTTTCTCCTTCATCTCCATCCGGATGATATTGAATTTTATACGAGCCATGAATGCTTTTAACCATACCTAAAAAAGAATACGATTGGTGATTACTTAAAATTGAATTTAATTGAAATAGGTGATACTAGAAACAAATATACCTGATATAAGGTCTTCAGTGATTTTCATTACATCATTATAGTCAGCATAAGCCATATAAAATTCACAAGTTGTGAATTCTGGATTATGAGTTAAATCAATGCCTTCATTCCTGAATTGTCGTCCTATTTCATACACCCTATCGATACCTCCGACAACTAGCATCTAAATAATAAATAAATAATGTAAATAAAACTAATTTAAATATTATTATATAGAAACATATACCTTATGGTACAACTCGGGTGCAATCCTCATAAATAAATCCATGTTTAACTCATTGTGATGTGTAATAAATGGTTTTGCAGTTGCCCCTCCAGCAATCATGTTCATCATTGGAGTTTCTACCTCCAAAAAGCCCATAGAATCGAAAAACTTGCGAATGTATGATATGATCTTTGATCGAACAATAAACTTTTGTCGAACTTTATCGTTCAGAATAAGATCTAAATACCTTTGACGAAATCTAGTTTCCTAATGAGACCATTTAATTAAACATCATATTTACAAACAAAACCAAAACATCTAACCTTGTCTTTAAGACCAAAATGTAAATGGGGAAGCATGTGTAAGCACGGGGATAACAACGTTAATGTTTTGGGCATTAGTGAAAGCTCTCCTTTTTTTGTTTTCCCTGGGTTTCCCACACACCCTATTATATCACCTCGTCGAATTTTGTCGGTATCGACAAAAAACTGTTCCTCTGAGGAGTAAGTATTTGCATTTGCCATCACTTGCAGCTTGAGGCCCTCACCTCGAAGATCATAAAAAATTAATTTAGCACCAGATTCCCTGATAGCATGTACTCGACCTAAGAAAACAAGCAAGAAAAAATATAAAAATACATTATTTGAAAATGACAGAGAAGCCTACCTGCAACGCTAACTTCTCTTTGGGTTAATACTTCACCATCTTTTAAATCAGAGTAATCGCTAATAAAATCCTCTAAAGAGGTGGAGACATGGAACTTGTGTGGGTAGGGATTTAAATTTTTGTCTTTCAATTCCTGTACTATTGCTGATCTCAGTTTGAAGTATTCCTGTTGATTACCAATAAAAAAATATATTAATTATATAACTTCCTTTAATAAAATAAAAACCTCAAAAAACTATTAATTGTGTGTATTATTAATTTAAACAAAAATCACGTACTTTGAAAAAATATTTGTAAAAATAATCTTGTGAAATTGAAATGATTTAAAAGTATGTAACACAGGCTAAGAGAAACCAGCCAACGATGGCACTCAATATTAAAAATTAAAGGGCAAGGAGGCCTTGAGGCCATCATCGTTTAAGGCCGATTCTCAGGATGGGAAAGTATAGAAAGGGCTTAAACTGGAGGATAATGATGGATCGAAAATATGGTTTGAAATTTTTAGAAGCAGGATCTGTTGATGGTTCGTTGAAAAAGTTATATTTTCAGGTCATTGTGGATAGTAACATAGTGACGAGCTTTGACAATTAGCATGAGGTCTTTCAATTGGAAAGATTGATTTAATTGGAAAGCAGTAGCTACTGGATGGACTCCGTTTGTCCAAATGGATGTTAATTGAGTTCAAAACAAATTTCAATCCAAAATGTCTTCTTGGTTAAGTTGTTGTATCTTAATTCTTGTGTGAGGATTCCACTGTCTGCTGTCTAGGTATAATCATAAGTTTCTGATTTCTTCTGTGTGGAAGTCTTTCTTCTTGATATACACTGGAGGACTGTAAATGATGTAAATGGAACGCAAATGAAAATGTAAAGGATGTAAACATACACTGGGTTTCAGTCCTGTCATCCATTTTTGAAACAGTCTTTGGTAAACTTGCAGTATTCTTGAATGTTGGAGGTTGCTTGGATAAGATTCGAGTTAGAAGACCGAACATTGATGTCATCTGCACAGGTTGTAATGATGGTGTTGGGATATAAAGGAAAGTCAGTAGAGCAAAATAATGGTATACACAATGAAAACTGAGGCATGCAAGGCTCTGGAGTGAACATTGAATTTAATATCAGGAGCTACAATATTACTAGAAAAAAGTTTAATAATTAGCAAGGACAGTAATGTGGCATTAGCCCAAATGCAAATACAATGCAACCACCATACAAAAGTCGAATTAATAAGATGTCTTAGTTGGTCCCAGGTAGTAGTAGTTAGTCCCAGACCCATGTCGGAATTAAGGAGAACGAGGAATCTGATCAATGTGCAAAACAAGCTGTCTTACATTTGCCTTTGCCTAGAATGATGGGAAGTTCAATGATCATTTGTAGCCTTGGCAGCAGAATATGTAACAGTTCACAGGATGGAAGTCATACAAAACAGTTCTTCGGAAGCATTAAAGAAGAAACAAATTTACAACTCATGAACACCTACTGAGTACGCAGAAAGCAAAGAACCTACATTGTTTCAGAATTGAGTTTACTATAGCTGCAGTTGACCAGGCCACAGGTGGTGTATTAAGGGAATACCACATATTTGAATGTGTGCTTTAAAAACCTCAAAGACAGAGATTATTAAGGTCCAAACTTGGAAAAGGAACAGCAACTAATATTAAGGAACTAAGGATGATGTCATTTAAAAGTTAGATTTCTTCATGTTTGTGTCTCAATTGATTTCTACCTTATAAGTGAAAAAATTGTAAAAATAAAAGGTTGAAAATAAACATCCATACGGATTAGCAAAGTATTGCAAAAGAGAAACTATATAAATGGAGGGTATTGAGAATTAAGTTGTTTTATTTGAATATAACCCATCATTTTGTAAGATAGTGTTGTGTAAAGTACGTGTTCAGGCACTAAGTCCCCTGCCTGGTCTATTCTCTCCGCGGCTAGGACACTTAAAAGGGCATGGACATCTCTCCATCAATTAGACAATTTTAATATTGCAATGAGTCGGCAGACGGATTGTAATCCATGCCTGTATGGTATGGTATAGTATGATGATAAGGATACTAGGAAGCGGGGTTTTTGCTCCCCAGGCACTGCAGCCTTCTGGCAATCCATGCCTGTACTATGTTTTGTAAATAATCATACAACTATATTCATGAAAATAAAAAGTGTTAATAATAAAAATAAAAAAATAAATAAATCTTTAATGAGTTGTGAAAGCTTGTCGACCAACAATTCCAGAAAGGAAATGTTTACGAAAACATTGCCGGAATATTCAAGGCGTTCCTCAGCCCTACTGGATATTCTAAAAGTCACAGCACACAAGAGTACACTTATTGTTATGTGAATTATTTTAGAAGGACTCAGTCCCAACATTAACCCTAGGACTAGAACATTGTCTCGAATGTTTCGAGAAAAAAAGAGAATAGTGTACAATGAGTGTACATTTTGGATTGAAAAGGGAAAATCATAAATTACATTAGGGCTGACTTCCTCTTCTTTCTTTTTTTGTTCAGACTGCTTCTGTTGCAGCTTTGGTTGGTTCTTCTCTTTCTCCGCTTTCTCTTTGGCCTTCTGTTCAGCTTTCAATCGCCTTTTCAACTCACTGGAAACAAATAATAAAAATAAATTGTGTTTACATAAAATGTTTTATTTCGTATTTTGGTGACTGACCCTCGCAAAAGATTGCTTGTTGTCAAATTACGAAGTGACACATTATTTAGCCTAAAAGTATTAACTAGAAGCCAACCCTTACTGATTAAAGACATAATAAGGGCCGCTAATAATTACAAATCTAAAGTTCCACTAATCAAAAGGAAATGGTTATTTTGGTAAAGATATGGAGAGCCAAAGTTGAGATGTCAGGGAATTTATTGTTGGTGCTAGTGAAAAGCATCCGTTTTACCCATAACTCTCAAAAACTTAAAATGATCAGTTTATAAAATAAAATAAAAAATATTATTGATAAAAAGAAATCCTACTTTTTCGAAATATTCTCCCCGGTTTCTTCCATGCTGTCGAATTTCCTGGTAACCAGCTGAAGGAGGTTATTTTTCGACATCTATCTACCCTTAAATTTTATTACTCGATGAAAAAATACATCGTACACATACATATCCTACATACACGTATATATCCTTAAGTTTTGTCTTTTTTTCTATAATATTTATAGCATAAAGACCGGACGGGTGGATGTTACAATTATTTAGTGCATATAATAATTAATTATTAAAACTGGAGAATTCTCATATTGGAGAATTAGTGAATTTTTTAGTTGTGAAAGTACAATACATACTAATACAAACATTAAATATAGTATTACAATTAATTAAGGTTTTTAATTAATTAAAGAAATTAAAGAAGAAGAATTAAGAAATTAAATATAGTTTTAGTCATATATAGTTTATATTTATACTTATCTCTGTATATAACAACCTCCATTTATCTTACTGTAGATTTAATATAATTTCTTTTATAAAAGGAAAATTGTAAACCCCTATCAAATAATGGTTTGAATCCTTATTTAGCATAATTTAGACAATTTACACAGGAAATTAGTAAATGGTCTTTTTTAGATATGCTGTCACAGTTGGATTATAATAATTTGCCATTGGATATGACAAATTTCATATTCAGTTGTATTAAAATATTGACAATAAATTAATTAATAAAACTGAAGACTTCTTGTACCAAAACAATTATGTGTAACCTGATTTTTTTATTTATTAGTATATTAAAAAATGTTTTTCTAATGACGAATATTTAGATAAAAAGAAACCAGGAATTCCATGGTAGCTGAATAATTATCTTAATATTCAACTACCACAAAATAACTGTTTTCTATCTCACCGTGAACTTAACATTGCAAATATTATAAAATAATATAGAAAATCAAGGCAGACTTCAGCATGACTCAAAATTTTGAGTTCATGCTGCAAGAATTCATTCAATATGTAGGATGTGAAAAAAATAACATTGTGTCTTACACAGAAAACAAACACTTTGAGTGAGTATAAATACTTTGATTGAATTTAAAATTTCTAGCATTGTGTGATTTCATTTTTTTTCCACGTCCTACATGTATTTGTAACATTTAAACAATGTTTATAAATCCCAGGCCTTGAATATGATCTCAATAAAGATTGAAATGTTGGCACGATAAGGAAAATGTTTTCCTAAAACCTACGTCACACCAGACCGCGTCTTACGATCTCCAAATAATCATTGGCTAATGGTCACTAAACACCAGCGAGTATTATGTACTCAACTAAGACATTATTGCACTATTTTAGCCGAAATATTTTGCTCTCTCTTTTTAGCATTAACATAATAAATTATTAATAGAACATGACAACAAATTTCAGTTAATTCCTTGTCCTTCAAGTGTCCTGTATGGTGAATTTAGGCTCATCAAGACATAAATGGTAAATTAACTAACACATCTGATCATCAACAGAACTTTTTTTGGCAAATCAACTTAGAAAATAAAATCCAAATTAACATACAGATTTGCTAATGCTAAATAATTTGAAGTATTTCCAATTACTTCATTCATTTTAGCTGTTTTAAAATTTGGCAAAGGGGGTGTGGTATTAAATCTGCTGTTTATGATTAATAAATTATTTATTATTGTTTAAATGTTAAATATTACAACAAACCAAACATGTGTTAATGTGATTTACCATATTACGGAATACAACGAGCATTTAAGTTCTTTCACAAAAAAAAAACTTCTTTTAATGCTAAGTTGTCAAGATTAAAGTTTAATCAATAGATTATTGGCTTGCTGGTATCCAAGTTAAACAACTTGTGATTCTTGATAGAGGAAAGAATCAAAAATCAATAAAACCTCAAAATGGATGGCTTACTATCTGCAAGCGATATGCGCGGTTTAGTGGATCTGTTGAAGTATCCTGATGCTGACAATGATAGTTCAAGCGATGATGATTTGCCAAAATCAGGCATTTCTAAACTTGGTAATTTTTGTGTGTCAAATATAAAACTTTTACCTTACTTAAAACAAGCAATATACCAGGGTACATCTTTCATTTTATTGTTACTTTTTTACTTTAGGGCCAGGAGATATTGGTAAGAAGGTCAAGATTAAAATAAAAGGAAATTCAAAGAAAGGAGGTGGTGATGAGCAAGAAGAAAAAGGTGATCCTCTGAGTATCTGGGATTTATCCGAGGTACCTGAAGTGCCTTACTCAGATGATGCAGTTACAGATCCTCGAATCAAACCTGAATGTGATATAAAATTTAAACAAATGGTAGGCTCCGAAGATGTATTTTTACAGGTAAGCCATAAAACATGACTTATTTCCAAAAACTGGCTTAATAATTATCTAAATAAGAAAAGAACCATACATAATAATTTACGAATCAACACAACTGTAACACTACCAATGACATATATAAAAATGAAATGCACAATTTTGTTTTTAGTTGTCTGCAAAAACACCAGCAACTGCAAGTTGTGAATGTATGACGATAACGATGAACTTGGAAGGAGAAGTGAAGGATGATGTGGACTGCCACTTAACAAAAGAACATTTGGATATTCGATCACCGAGATACCGACTTAGCATGCCACTACCACATCCAGTAGACACAGAGTCATGTACAGCAGAATGGGATGCCGATCATTGTAAATTGACTCTTAACCTTACATTGAACAGGGAATATGACTATGTGAATTTCTAAAAAAGAACTTGTAGCAAAATGTTCTATTGTTTATTAATCCGGACAAATAAAAATTTACCAATTTGAACTGACTATATTTATAACAATGTTGTCCTCTACATAAGTACATTTACATTGTACACTCAATATATTTATATATATAAAAAGTAAAAATGTGTTCAAACAGCATTTTTTAAGAGGCAAACAACCGTTTGCTTTTGGTAATGTGGAGCCTTGGCAACTGTAAAATCCACTACCTGAAGAGAGGCATACAGTTAATGACAATTGACCATAAAAATTGTTTTCTAAGAATGTTAAATATGGGGAGTTTTAATAATTAATAAATAATGCCATGAATATTTCATTTTATAACTATTTATGTACATTTTTTTTGTATAATTGAGTTTTAGCATTAACAAATTTTAATTGAATTACAAATGTATTATGAGAAAGTCACTGAGATCATGGCATGTAGAACAAATAATCTTTCATTTTCTTTTGTAATCATTACCATAAGTCACATTCCAAAAAATTTAAAAAAAATGTACAAAATAAATAATTTAAAAAATGCCTCTCCATAAAATATAATCATTAATAAATATTGATTAGATTTTAATCTAAAACTTTCATTTGGTGTGGAGGATAAAACTATGCAAGCAGGATTTTTAATAATCAATCTAACCTACATAAATTAATTATATAATACTTAGTAATACCTCCATTTATTGAATAAGATACTGCCCATCAATAGAGTACCTCTTTCCACAACACAAATGAAGCGAAGCTTAGCCTCAACTATTGATTCTGTATAAAACGTAAACATTAAATTAAGCGATTTTTTGTTTTTAACCAGACAAAATATAGAACAATTTTTGAACTTATGGTACAATTTACAATAGGCATCATCACTATCTGTTTGTGATGTAAAATTTGTTGGTTTTTTTCTTAAATCTTTGTCACAACTAAAATGCACCACACTTTTCTTCTCCAATTAAATGCACAAAAAAAAAATGCCATCGATTTTATGATAAATATAACCCAGTCTTAATCGAGGCATTCGAACTATTAACTAAGCAATTTTTAAATATTTACAATGTGCTATTTATATATTTATTTATATATATATATATATTATATAAGAGCAGAGACTTTTAATAAATTTGTCCCCTCACCTTGTTCATTAACTGAATCACTTTACAAGTCAATTTTCTATCATGAATGTACACATGATTTTAGGCTAATTAAGATTTGTATTCTTTTTTTAATAATTATTTTTATTATTATGTACAATGTGAGCTACACTAAATTTGTGCCGGGATAAAAATAAAAACAATAAAATAAAAACAATAGTTCGAGCTGTCGTCAATTTATGAAAATGTCAAAACTGAAGTACTGTGACAGCACAATTTTATATGTTAATTTTTTAATCTGGACCTGTAAATTTAAATTCTTAATAACATGACAAATAGAAAAGATCACATATATATATATATAAATATATATTTATCAAGTAAAAAAAAAATATATATATAAATATAAGACAATATTATATGCAGTTAAAATAAAATAAGTAATATTTAAATACTGGGGTCCTAACAACAGTACAAAAAAATACAAATAGTGAAATTAACAATAGCTCAGTTTAATTAAAAGTGAATGCTATCACAGTTAAAATATAATAGTTTTTCCTTTTTTAATTTTTTCTTTACTATCAATATACATATAAATATAAACAACCGATTACCACTATATACGAGTTTAGTGCATTAATTGTCCTTTATCAAGCCAACACAACACAACAGCCACGATCTGATAAAACACACAAGTAAAAAGAGAACAATATTTAAAAAAAAATATATATCAAGCAATTTTTTTTCTACTATTAACACAAATAATATAAAACAACATCAATGATTTTTAAACAAGTGAATGTACATAACAGGAAATAGGTTCTACAGCAGAACGGCCAGAATATAACACAGATAAAACAGTTAAAAAGCTGTAGAGATATTCTGGAAAAGAAAAAAAGATCGCCAATAAAGATAAAATTGTTATACACACATAAATATGCTGTACAATCTACTTCCATAACCATTTTTTTTTAAAATAATTTAAGTCTTATGCTGTTGGTCATGTATTAAGCGTAATGTACAGACACAGTACACCAAGTTATATCCCCACTTTTAACTTAGTGTACTCTTTCTTAGATCAACTAATAATGCACTGTCATATTATTTTTCTTCCAACCACTTCAAGGCTTGAATCACTGGCTACTATTTATCGGACTGCACTTAATTTTGGCCCCAAAAGTTCAAGCTGTCAATACAAGATTTATTCTTTAGGTCTGTAGAATAAATAATAGTGAATATTAAAATATATAAAAAAACCGATATATTAATTGATGGCCCACAATTTAAGAATAAGGGGTAAAAAGTAAAATATACATTCTTTAAATAAAAATTGTATCGAGAGCAAAAACGAGTTTTGAGTAGAAAGTAATTTCTTGAAGCAGGTAGAAGAAACGTGCATAATGAAATGAAATGGAATGTAGAAAGCCTATACTGCAGGTTCATGCTGTTCTAATGAGGCAGCCCGTTGCCTTGCAGCGGCAGCAGCAGCAGCTCTTCCAGCACTACTCCTTAAGTTCTTTCTTTCCACTACATCACTCACAGAGGCTGTTACAGGACTTTTTTTACCTCTTGACCTTTTCTTTTTACCACTAGCTTCAGCACCTCTACTGCCGCTTCCTTCGTCTTCCTCTCGAGTAGATTCCAACATAACTGACTCAGGCTCATCTGTATCTTTTTCACCAGCACTTTCAGCTAAATTCATTGGCTCAGGAACTGGTGCAGGAGCTGCAGGAGTTGGTGCAAGAACAGGAGATTCTACCACCGGCGGAGTTTCGCATAGTTTTGTCGGTACAGTCTCTAAACTTGGTGTTATAGAAGGAGGTGGAGTCTGTGTTTGAGGAGTTGCTGGTGCTGATACCTGCAACTGTCCTTCATCACTACAAGAAACTTTAGGAGGGTTATTGCTGGTTGGATCATCCTTTTCTAGTTCACTCTCATTTTTATGTTTCTTTGATACTTGTTCTAGGTCAGGTACAGGAGTAGATTCTCTTGTTCGTTTACTACCTTTGTCCTCCTTCTTTGTATCTTGAGGAGGTTGCACCATTCTTGCTAATAACTCTGATGAATTCTTAGTGAAGCTTTCCAGAGCTTCTTTCATTTCTTGTTCTCTTGTTTTTGAAAATTGAGGTGTTACTGGCAAATTGGGGATTAGATTTCTTAATCCTTCGAGATCTTTCGGTTTTAGAGACGGTGTTTTGTCACGACCCTTGTTACTGGTTGCAGCAGCTGCAGCTGCGGCCACAGCAGCGGCTGCTCCTCTGGATAGACTTTCTAATATATGAGTATCTTGGGGTAAAATAAACTGTTGCTGTGGCAATGGAGTATTAGTCCTAGAACCAGAACGTTGGCTGTTAGACAATGGAGATGAAGCGGCATTGCTGAATGATGTCATCGTAGATGCTCTTCCAGCTACAGTGTTGGTTGTACTCTTATGGGCTGTTCGTGATGTTGTTGATGTTGACGAAGCTGAACTAACCCCTAAAGTTCCATTTAATAGAGCAAGACTGTCATACGCCGACCCTGGCTGCAGTGAGAAAGGATTCAAACCTCCAAGTTGTGCCCCCAAACTCAATGGTGAATAAAGTAAACTAGGATTAGGAAAAAAGAATGGCAGTGAACTTTGCAAACTTGAAGGGGCTGAAGATACTGGTGTTTTTACTCCACTCTGTTCAGGTTTTCTGGGTTTATTTTGCTTGGATGTACTTGCGCCAGCATTAGTAATAGACGAAGTCGTGTCAGTTACAGTTCCAGAAGAAGTAGCATCACTTGTAGCCCCTCCCATTCCCGCTAAACCTGGCAGACCGAGGCCTGCCAAATTTGCAAATATAGAATTAGTTAAATTCATGTTCCCTAAACCACTCATACCACTTAGGGCACTCATGTTCGGCATTCCTCCAAATGGTAGCAGCAAAGGATTTTTCGGGTCGAAACCTCCAAGAGACAGTCCAGACAGCAATGAAGATGGATTGATTCCTCCTAAAGACGGAAACTGCGTATTAGAAGCTTGGCTTACAGGAGGCGAAGTGCCTGGGGGGCATGAAAGAAGGGGCGGCCTACCAGGTCCTTTTTTCCTGTCACTCGGAGGTAGTCGTTTTTGTAAGTCATGAGGAAGATTACCTCTTTCCTTCACAAGTTCAGCCCACTTAGGGTCCACATCGAACATCGGATTTTCAAGCAGCCACTGGGCAAGTCTTTTCAACTGTGGGGCTTTGGAACCAGTAAGCTAAAATACAAAATTGAATACACTCATTTACAAATCAAAGGCTGAAAAATACTTAAAAGAAAAAAACAAGAGAATTAAACATTGTCCATCAAACCAAAATGTTCTTTAAACAAGCTTTACAAAAATTACTCCTGAAAGTAACAAATATTCTCCCATACCTTTTTCCCGGTTATCCTGTTAATAACTGATACATTTTCTTCGCCTGTAAGTTTTTTCCAATCCAATAGTGTTGGATCAACTCTTGGCCTCCGTCTTCTTGGTGATAAGAAATCAGCCGAAAGAGGTTGTTCTGGCATAACTCCACTCTGTTCTGCCAACCATTTGTTTACCTGTGTATGTAAACAATTAAAATGCTATCCAAATCTTTCACTTCAATGTTATAAAGTTCCGTACCTTTGCTTCATGAGAGTATGCACCTATTTTTGATGAAAAGTCGGCAACTTTTGAAATGTCAGCGATCATTGCTTCATACGTTTTCCTTTGGACTTGAGCAGCAGCTGCTGATGTAGGTTGAGAAAGTTTCAAGGCTTGTTGCTGCTGTAAAATTTGTTGTTGTAACTGTTGCTGTTGTTTTAATAAAAGGCAGTGTTGTTCAGCAAGGTATGCAGAATCATGAGGTTTATTCATTTTAAGCGCTGGAGGGGAGGGAGAACTGCTTGTTGAGAATTGAGAACTCCTGGGTGGATTGTTTTTATTTGATAATGTCACAGTAACACTTGGAGTTACGTTCTTTTTATCGGTAGATTGTTCTTTGGCAGCAGATAAACCTAGTACTATTTCATCTAACTTCCTACGTTTCTTTTCCTTTCCTATCACAGGCTCTTCTATAGGCTGTAAATTGTTAAATTTTGTTACATACGTTTTATTGTTTTCAATTTTTAAATGATTTTAAGAACTATTTATCTATCATTGCAGCATAACTTACACAATTTTTCTTTTGCATTAGTTTATTTAACATATCGTCCAATTTTCCTTTTGCAGCAGAACCCTGAGGTTGTGACTGTGATGATGTTTGTGACTGGGTTTGCTGTTTTTTACATGGCAGTGAGAAATCTTGCACTTCCTCCATATAGTTTGTGTTTGAGGCAGTATCTACATTTGTAGATTTCATAGAACTTCTAAAAAATAAAAAGTAGTCAAAAGAAATGGTATACATAAATTTAAATTTTAGTATTGGACTTCAACTCAATCTATGTTCAAATAAGTAATAATTATTAACTTTAACCGTCATGACAACTATTTAATCATGAAATTTATTTTCTCAGAAATTAATTTCTGACATTTTACCACTGATTTATTTGACTGTATATCTAAGCTTATGCACTTACTGCAAATTATAACAATTGGAAAATAATTGTACTTGCTCAACAACAAATCCTGAACCTTCAATTCACTTAATAAATTTATCATCATAACTCAATTAAAAAATATAATTTAAGTACTGGTAATAAATACCCTGATGAAAGATCGATCGGTGTGAGTGAGCTTGGAGATGAGGGTACAGGTGTTGTTGATTTGTCTACAGGTGCTGGATGATACTTGAGATCAAAAGGCATAGAAAGCATTCGATTTGAAACATGAGATTGCTGATGAGCAGGAGGTGGTTGCAACCCAACGCCAGTGAGTGGAGTAGACCTCCTTAACATAAATATTATAGATATAATTACAATAAATTACATGTAATGTATATTAGGATATATACCTGGAATCTTCTGATAAAGATTCGTCTGTATGATCCCAAGGAGTGCTTGGAGAATGTTTCATGGCATGCTGCAGTTGCATGTTGGTACTATTAAGTAATGCATGCAGTTTTGCTGAAAAAAAAAAAAAAAAATGTTAGAATGTAAAACATTTCAGAACTTACAAGTATTTTTATTTACTCTTTACGTACCTCTTTCAGTTTCAACATCTATTGCAATATGCCGTTTCCTTTTAGAAGCCAAAGAACTGCCTTTGTTCCCATGATCTGTAGTTATAGTTATAATTTCTGAAGGTTCGCCAAAACTCCTCATCAAATCGTCAACGTGGTGCTGGTCATCTGAGTAAGCAGTAAAATTTCTTCCAACAGGCCATTCTTTATTCTCAACCGCATGTACTATATGCTGAAGTCGTACTTGAAGAGCATGCTCCTGTAAAAGTAATGTATATTATTAACAATGAACTTAATTTTGAAATAAATTGATGAAAAGTTTAGGTCAATAAGCTAATAGTGTTAATTATTTTAATTACCTTTGGCCACTTAATAGGATTCTGATAGCTGTGTGCAATGAGTTGTGCAACAGTTGAGTCTAAAGCAGTACGAGGGACTGGAACACTAGCTTTTTCAGTCACAACTGTCGTATCGATTTCTGGTAGTTTTTGCATAACTTCCAATTCTGGAAACATTGCTTTAAACCTTTCAATGCCCTCTACATCCTTTTCTTCTTCTTTACTCGTGTTATCCTCAGGTTTTTCAACCTTTTCATTTGGAACTTCTATTTCTACAGTCTTTTCTGCAGTTTGAACATCAGTTTCATTTTTAACAGCACCTTCCACAGGTACTTCGACTGTATCTACTTTGACTTCGACCTTTTCCTCTTTCGACTCTTCTATAACATCAGGAACAGTGTTGTTTTGTTGATCCTGCTTATCATAATTTGCTGGAACATTTGGCACTTCTGCCGGTTTGGGAGAAGGGTTTTGGTTTTCACTTCTTTCCTTAAGTTTAGATGATAATTCTATTGTCTTGTTACTCTCTTCCTCTTCTTTAACAACAATCTGTTTTTCTGTTTCCATTTCCGCTTCTACAGTTTCCATTTTATCATCTCCTTGCTTAGTATCAGCAGCAGGCTCGTCAGTCTTAGCAGTATTATCAATTTCTTCTCCTTCTTGTTTTTCGACTTTCAGCTCTTTCTCTTTTTCTTCCACTTCCTGTTTAACATCTTGAGCATCTTGATCAGTTTTCACACCGACTTTTTCGATTTTCAGCGTTCCTTCACCTTTCTCCAATTTAACAACTATTTCATTCTTGTCAGGTGGCATTAAATCTTCAGGCCTTTCCAGTTTTACATTTGTCTCTCCTTTCAAGTTCATTATGTTCTTTCTTGCTACTTCATGGAATGACAGTTCCGGATCATTTAATATGTACACGTCTGTTCTCCCTAATCCATGTCTATGTAAAAATAATAATGTCAATTATTTCTATTTATTACCTTACAAACAAATATACTTACTTTGCTGCACCAATTAATAAATCTTTGTCGTGTTTTCCAGGAATCCACCACTCTGGAACATCAGCAGATGGAAGGCACAAAGCAAGCCTTGCGTCAAGCTGAGGATGACAAAGAGTGTCTTCTCTTATTTTACACAACAAAGCTACACGTTCAAGTACTCTCCTAGCCCTTTCTTCTGAAATAGGTTCGACAGCTATGTCCACACATTCTGTAATATATTTTTTAATATATAAATCATATTGCAATTATTTTAATTTATATAAATTACAAACCCTCTTCAGGTGACAGTTTGAGACCACAAACTCGCTTGCACATTGCAGAGAATCCAAGATAATATTCAGTTAAAGTATCATCATATTTCTTATCTAATTTAGAAATGGCACGGAACTTGGTCCATTCATATTTCTTTTTTTGTCTAAAATTTATAATAAAATAAAATAATTAATTATAATGATAAACATTACTTGTAGTTTGTAAATGGACTATATACTTGTCAAATTCAACTCCATAAGTAGATATAGTTCTAAAGAAGTCCTGCTCCTCCCTTCGTGTCCATTTTCGTTGATTAACTTCCATTTTTTGTCTTTCTCTCTCTTTGACTATCTGATCAAACTTCTCTCTCCTTTCAACTTTCTATAAAACCATATGTAGGGTTAGATTAAAATGGAAAGTGACAATTTTTACAAATTACATGGTATAATAATATAATTTGAATAGACACTACTTTTTTTCTAACAAGTCCAATCAAAATTGTAATAGTGCATTAAATAATTCATGCTTAGTACGCACCCATAGATACATGGCGAGCTGGTGCCAATCCCAGCCCCGGGCTGCCATCAAGGTGGAGATGTCCATCCCTGCTTGACTATCTCCACCGCCAATACCAGTTTGCTACACAAATACATCACAACCACTAAATAAACATGTACTCCTCCACCAAGATTTTTTTTTTTAAACTATAACTAATATAAAAGTAATGAAAAATTTATCTACTCTCACTATAGTATAAATATAATGTCAAACAAACATGCAAAACTACAGTAATTTTCGTTCTGGCATAATTCACAATCTGTATGTAAAGGTTGTTTATTTCTAGTTCTTTAGTAATCTTCTGTTATTGGAGGGGGTGAGGGAATCCATAGAAATAAGGCCCGATGCACAGATTGGGTTTTTTTACAGACAGTCCTGCTGCAGTGCTGTAGCTGTTTAATGCACAGTTGTCCGGTCTCACTACAGGGTCATAGCAAGAGTACTTAAAATACCTCCAGTAAGGTTCTCCTATTGCTAAATGGGATGGATGTCTGACATGGCCTTTTTGCTCACCATGTGTTCAAAGAGTACATTTACAAACAAAATAGATGATTTTTTTCCCAACAATCTACACATCAGGCTATTTTCTATTTTTTTGTATAAATAACTTGACATCAATTTCATCAGCCTTTGCATGCAGTTCTGATGGATACCCCAAAATTGAAATTAGAAACAGGAAGCATACAAATATGGCATTCAAAGTGGTGCTGAATAACAACAAAGCAATGCTATTTTCTTTCGTGCCACATCTGCTGGCCTGTTCTTCGCTAGGACGCTGGATTAACTGGTTCACTTTTTACGGCGTCGATGGCTTGAAATTTCCACCTTCCACCTTGCTGCTGGTCGCCTAGAAGGGAAATGCTAGGAAAAAAGACCACAAGTCTGCTAGACAGTGCGGCTGTGGCACCGCAGCCATGAGCACTGAATCTGATGCTCTGTACTTCAGACTGCAAGTGCAGGCCCAGAGCGGAACACGATGCCAAAAAACCCACATATGTGCATGGGCCTAATAGCAACTATTTTTAAAATTGATGTAAGCACATTTCCTCACTTTATTATTTAATAGTGAAAGTTTTCTTGAATGAATGAAAAATTATTTTAGTTCATCTTTCCCTTTGGGGTAAAATAGATAAAAGTTTCACTTAAGATAATACTACTGCTCTGATAATACTTGAAGATGACATTTTCTCTAATCTGGTTGCTTTATGAATAAATTTTATCAACACCTTACTCAACAATACAATTATCTTCATGTATATAATAGAAAAATGTTTTGAATAATTAAGACAACAATTAATAAGTACAAGTTAAAAATACTTCTCAAAATGTATTAATAAACTAAAACTTGAATAATAATATTTGATTATAATATCAATTCAAACTATATCTACATTTGTCACGTACTCTCATATTCATTCTTATACATTTTTTACCTTTGCTTTTTGAGCTAATTTCAATTCTTCTTTCTTGAAGTTTCGTTGATAGGAATTAATCACTCTCCTCAGTCTTTGATTCAGATCAACCATAGAGGGCCATTGGGGTTTACTTGGATCATCTTCACTTGGTGCTGCAGTACTAGCAGATGGTTCTTCCGTTGTATCAGCTTGGGAAACTTCATCGCTTGTCCCGATGCCTCCAGCTGTTTCTGACACGTCATCTTCATCGCTCAGTTTCATTTCCTTATCATCACTGTAAACATTAGAAGCAAAAAACAAAGGTTGTTTTAAAGTCTTTTTGTTTAATTTATAATTTCAAATTCAAATGTCCCTAATAATGGCTTACGTAACTCTTGTTGAGTGTCCCTGGCTGCAATCTTACCTTAAATATATTAACTAATTTACCTGAGATATTTGTGTAGGAGTTGTCAAATCAGTTTATAAAAAATGAAAATAAATAAAAAATGGGATAAAAAGCATAAAATAATAAATAAAAAGGTAAGAAGCGTTTTGTTAGCCATCAGCCAGCCAGGGATATGAACATGGCAACACCACTAAATTCTAAGTAAAGGTTAAATATAGCAATGCAATTAATTCTAGTGGGTTATGAAAAAATAAATAATATAATTATGAAAATGCAGATATCTTTACATTAAATAACCATAAACATATGTGATGCCATATTTTACAAGTACAATTTATTAAGTAGTCTGACAAAAACATATAAACTAAAGAAAAACAGGAATAATCAATCATCGTTAAGGTGTACGAAATAACACTTGATAAAAAATGCCATTTGTTTTTTTAAAGAATTTTAATGCTGACATTTTTCATACGCCTTAATTTAGATACTAGCTTAAAACAAAAGGAAACAGGAAACCAAGAAGTAAGATATCTGCATGTTATGCTTACAGTATGTTAGATGGAGGGCCGCAGAGGGAGATAAATGCCAGTGTGGGATCTCTTCTCATCTCGGTGTAAGACTCGTATCCATGTTTGTAAGTGCCCACTACCAAGGACTTGTCTGCGTCCCTGTCCCACCAAGGGGCCGGTGAAGTGCTCTGGTCACAATGTGGTGCAGCCATGGGCAGCGAGCTGTTCCCACACACATCCACACACATACACACATCAACGCCTAGCTTCTTAGCTCATGCAATCTACTAAAAGCTTATTGTAGACTTGAATTTTTAACTTGGATGCACGTACATGCATACTGAATGTATACATGGAATAGGAGGATAACGAATACTGTTTAAATGCACACTATTCAGTTAAAGCTGTATTTTTGATTAGAAAATAAATACAGCAAATTACCAATTACATGTTTAATTAGTTCTGAGGTTTTATCCTATATTTCAGACCCAGATTTTTTTTTCAAATTAACCACTATGGAATTATTGTCATCGTCAATTTTAGGAAAGGGAACACAATAATTACAAGGTTTCTTGATCTTTTTCTAACTTATTTCATTATAAATTAAGAATTGGTGGCCATGTTAATAAGAACCTTTTTTAATATGCTTAATCTATAATAAAAATATTTTATTGCAATTAAAAAATGATCATATAAACCTCATTAGTGATGGATATCCATATGATAAAATTTAGTAATGTTAATAAGAGCTTAGGCAATGAAATTCAAAAGGAAAAAGACTAGAGTAAACGGCAAATCTAAAAGTTATAGGCTCTGGCAATATGCGGTAGTCATGATTAAGACACAATTAGTAAATGTGATACGAACTTCATCCTATAAATTAAACATCTATAACTTAGTTTTAATTATTTACTTTTATAAGCAAGTTTATCTAGTGTCATCAAATTTTGTTGGACCAGTCATCAATAAATAAGTAAAGTAGGTTTATGACCAGACAAGATACTCATAATGGTTTTAACCGAAGTGTTATCACGTTGGTTTTTCCTGGCTTATGGCATGCAGAGGTCATGAAGCATTTCTTGTATCAGTTGAGAATTACTGCCAATTGAAAAAATTTCTGTGGACAGTTCTTAAAGAGGAATAAAGAGAAAACAATCTGTAAGAAATAAATTTGCCAATTTTCTTTTTAAGCAATGGTTAATTTCATGCTCTTTTAATTAAGTTCTCTTTCTTAGTATTCCTCAAAAGATCTTATTACTATGGGTAAATAAATACACATATTATTTGATTTTCTTTCAATCAATGTATTCGGGAGTTTTCAAGACCCACAAAGCAGTAGGATTTTCTTCCTAGGAACTTCCCTAATACATTTTTCCACATGTTTTTGCATTTTGGAACTCGAAATATATAACAAAAATACTAAGAAGCAAACAAGTTATGAGGTATGAACCCCGCTCAAAGAAACGCCATGTGTCAGGGCTGACTAAATACAATGCAAATAATGAATGCTGGTGTTTTCAAATCAAGTAGTAGGTCGGCTGGACCACTACCTGACTTGGTTTTAAAACCTACCGGCGGTATGCACCGCTTCATGTCATCACAATGCTTCAACTGGACAACTCATTGACTTGGTTTTTCTCTTGTTAAATGCTTCAGTCAAAACAGTTCTGTGTTATTACCCTAACCACTGCATGCAATGGTTAGTTGAGTCTGACCACATTACAATTTTTTTGTGCAAACTATTCTCAAAGAAAATTTGAAGGATTAATGCAGACTTGAACCCTGAACTGCTAAAAGTGCAAATCAAAACTGTAGCCGCCATGGTACTTTAATCAAAGTATATCATGTCCTCACAAGCTCAAGTCAATTTAGCAAATGTCAATATCATTTACTTAGTGCATATTATTTTAATGGTTTTGATATTCTGTTTTTTAGTCAACCACAGGGAAAAACTACAATTTCAAACAGGGTGCATTTTAACAAATTAAATAAAGGTCAAGAAATATCAAGACCACAATAAGCTTCATGTAGAAATAAACATATAAAATGATAAATCACATTAAAACAATAAAAATAAAGAGGGGCAAATAATGAAAAATATAAAATGAATTTTTTTAAGTAATGACTGAAATAAAAATAAAATATGTATACAAAAAATTATAATTAACATAAAATTTAAAAAAATAAATAAATTTGCTGGATTTATAAAAAATCATTATTCTGATATGAAGGTTTCATGTGCAAAGTAGTGTTCAATGGTTTTTTTTTAGTAGGTCGCAATTCATGCAATAAGCGACGTTACTTGCCTTTATTGGCAGTCAGCTTCCAGCCATTGGTCTTTATCTTACTAACTGATGTATCTACAATACTCTAATAGGACAAGGTGTTTCATTATTTAAAGTTATTTGATATGTAACAACAAAATGAAGTGAATTTTTTAAACAAATGGGCAAAAGAAAAATATAAATGTGAAATAGCTTTCTAAACATTTGATACCACTCGTGCTACATAAACAAAACAAATGCTATTTACTGCAAGATTAAATACTAACCGCAAAACCCCTTTAACACATTCAATGCGGGTGACCTCTCAGTGGAGTCCACCCCCTTTCTCCAAGACATCAAAGTTTTTTCCGCATGTTAGAAAAGTTGTGTAAAGACCCCGTAGGGCTCGAACAGATCAGAATGCCTGGGCTATCATCTTATTGTGAGCATCGTTTCCAAGTCTCTAACCTTAAACCTCTAGATAGCACTACAAACCCATATCTATTTTCAATGCCGCTCTTTCTGTAAGTTCGACCTTTTTTCTAAATAATATGTTCTAAAATTAAAAATAAACTATCTGTTTGTCTTTATGTAGAACTAGTATTTTTTATCTAGTTTTTTCTACATGAAAGATTTTTTTTTAACTTACCTATTTTGTCCCGTTTTATTGGAAACCAACTTTGACGAAGAACTTAATTATATAAGTAATATGAACACGTTGCTAATTAATTTTACCTCGTTTTCACAAAATAGAAGGAAGTCAGGATGACCCAGGTAAATATCATTTCACAAAATTCATGAACTATGTCTGAGTTTTTTGAAATTATAATTTATATTTTTATTTTCCTATGTTGTGCAACAATCATATTTTTCCCGGAATCACCACAGCTGGGACCATTTGGACATAAACACTTAATGCATGGGGTACAGCGACAAGCCAGGCCTCTGCATTCCAACGTGGTTTTTGGAATTTCACAAAAACAAAAAATTTAAATCATCCAAATAATAAAAAATATCAATATTTATTATTTTTATTGTAAATAGATTTTTTTAAATTTTATATTATTTGTTAATTTTAAACAAAAATGAGTGAAAAAGTTGTGAATATATAATTTTATTGTTGTAAATATGCTGTTTTATAAATAATTCCTTTTTTTTAAATTCATTTTGTAAAAATAAAAACATGGATAATAACAACTGTAAATACTAGAAAAAATAAGATGTTATTATCTAAAAAAAGGTTTTTTTTCTTCTTTTTTGTTCAGCATGGAAATATTTTTCCTCATTCACACATTGGTAAAGAAAAAGTTATCAAAATAGGTTTTTGAAACGGTTTAGAATATGAAAATTTTAAATAATTTGTGACTGATAAGTTGAATCACCGCAAGGGGATTGGACAAAATGCGTTGAGTTGTAGGTTTGCATACTCAGACTTTTGGCACATACTGTTGACTCCAGTGTGGAGTCACGGTCTGAAACCCTACAAAAACGCACTTTTAAGCGATAAAACATTATTTGCTATTAATCAGAACCTAAAGGCAATCAACCTATCAAGTTTCATGGGAAAAGAAAAAATTCTGTACCTGGGTGGATGGTCTCGGATTTCGGTCCCGCATTGAATGGGTTAAAATAGATTTCTTTGTTGCAAAGTTACTATAAAAAAATAAAAGTTTGCAATTCACGTGTATGCCACCCAACGTATAATTTTTGTAACGTTTAATATCTAGAAATACTAAAAGGCTTCCGAAACTGTTGCTTGAAATACTGCACTGATCCTAACAATGAAAAATATTAATTTTTATTCCATTTTAATATATCTGGCATTGTCAAATACAGGTAATTTCTCTTTTAAGCAACTATCATTGTTGAGATAATAAATCAAATGTGTGTAGGATAAGTGGTTTTATGGCATTGCCAGTACTAGCAATTGATTATACAATGTTTTATGTTATTCATAACAAACCTAATATGTGTTCCTTCTGATATGTGCTGAACAAGGTCTCCAATGATTTCATGTTTGATGTAGTACAACATACGAACTCTCAACAACAATCTACAATAACAAAACAAAACATTAATAAAACAAGATTATTTTAAAAACAAAAATTTAACATTTTTAATATAAATACACTTACTTGTTAGCATGCCGACTCAGGTGTTTTCTATAGCTGCTTTCGAGGAAAATATCTCCGTCAAACTTTTCATGGCGACTCCAATGGTCACTAAAGTCCATGCCGTCACAGTGCTTGAGTTTCCTGGCTGCCTTTCTACCTCTTGGTATGCTTTGGACTTGTCCTGGAAACATTTCTAAATAAAATACAAAGTTCATTAGACTGACCATTTAGCATGATTTGTTTGTATATCTGATTGTATGTACCTAAATGATTCCTAGAATCATATTCTGGAGGTGTGATGAGATCCCAGATAAAAGTTCTGATTTTGTCATCCCCTCTGTAGAACCTCAAGCAATAGAGTACCTTAAAACATAAAATGTAATGTTTACAAAATATAAATTGCATAAGTCAAGAATTCTTGTAAAATGGGTTAATGCTCACAATAACTCGAGCACAGTCTTCAATGTCAGCTTCTTTCCATCCATCCCTAAATTGATTGTGTCCTAAAATTTCTTGCCAACGACCCCATCTAGATGCAAGTATACAAAGATTTTTTATCAAGAAAAGGATACTAAACAAGTTTTCTCTAATCACAAAACAAATATATAACCAATTATGATAATATGATCATTATTCTGTGATCTTAGGGGGAGTACCAAATCTCTCCATTCTTCCTTTAATATCTTTTGAACTAGTGGGTGTGATACCAGGGATTGGTCTCATATTCATGGCTTTGTTTTGATTATTCTGGTATATGTTTCAATTCTGTGTAGACTTTCAATTTTTAACACAAGCATTTTCGGTGTTCAAAATTGCAAATCCTTTACACCAAACAATTCACATGAAAACTAATTTAATAATTTTTTTAAATTACAAAATAATTAATATTGTAGGTTGGAATGTCTTTTTTAGCACTTGTGGTGCTATTCACTACCAGTACAGACAGAATGAAGAATAATTTCTAGGTCAGAAAAAATTACTTCTTTAATACCAAAATTGGTTGACACCTTAAAGCAATTTTAAACAAGTGAAATTTAGAAACAATAAAATGGGTCCTTGCCTGTTTTTTATGCTTGATCAAGGACTATAAATCATATGAAGAAAACATCAAGTTATTTTAAAAATGATAACTCACCCAAATGTAAGAAGACCTCTTTCCACTTTAAAACACTCAGACCGTGCCCATGTTCCATAAGCAATCTCTCCATCTTTAGAAGTGTAGTCTTCAAAGCGGAATTTGTGCTTTTTATGAAGTTTGTTCTTAACTCTCCGACCTGAAATGTAAAAAAAGATGTTAGTTGAGAAATGCGAACATTTTGTTACAAAACTTATGTAGGTACCTCGACCTCTTCCAACTCCTAATGATGCATCGTTGTCATTATCCGAATCGCCACCAGAAGAACTCTCTAAATCAGAGATGTCCATGACAGCTTCATCGTGTCCATACCTCTTGATCTGAGTCCTTCTCCTAGGCTCATGCATTAAAAGTTCACTCTGAAATACAATCAAAAATTAAAAATCTATTCATAATTTCTATGAATAAAAGTCATTTTTACCTGTTCATCACGTTCAGAAGTATCGATATCAGCCTTCTTTGCCCATTTTTTCCAAAAGTCTGGATCATCAATATCGATATCTGCACGGATACCTGCTGAAGCAAAGCTAGCTTTGGAGAATGTCGAACCTTTTTCACTTTCTAGAGTTATTATCTGCGTCCGCCTTTCTAGAATTTGGTCTATATCTTCTTCACAGAATTTATCAGCAGCACTATCCTCTTCCATGATTGCACCATACGCTCCTTTTTTGAGTAAATCTTCAATCTCCTTTTTAGAAAGTTGCTTATTATTCCCGCCAACTTCTTTGCCTCCCTGAGCTGTGTTCATACTTTGCAGGACAGCTTTATCCAAGCCGAGTTTCAAAGATGCTTTATCAAACATTTCCCTTTCATATGTGTTCCGGCATAACAATCTGTAAACTTTAACCATCTTCTGTTGTCCTATCCTATGACATCTGGCTTGAGCCTTAAAACAAATAATCATAAGATTATTGCAGTAAATAAAGAGTAAAACTATAGAAATATAATATTAATTACCTGGAGATCGTTTTGTGGATTCCAATCAGAATCATAAATGATCACCGTATCGGCTGCAGTCAAATTGATACCCAGACCACCAGCTTTTGTGCACAGCAAAAACACAAACCTATCAGAATCAGGTTTGCAGAATCTATCTATCGCAGCCTGTCTCATATTACCACGAATCCGACCATCAATTCGTTCAAATGGATATCTAAAAAAAAATAAACATGGCATTTTATTAATCGAGAAATTTAATAAAATTTGATTGTTGATGTCTTCAATGATGAAAATGATAATAAATCAAATCTAATAACAGTCTCAAACTAGCACTTACTTCCTGAACATAAGATAGTCTTCCAAGATATCAAGACATCTAACCATCTGTGAGAAAATCAGTACTCTGTGCCCGCTGCTTTTCAACTTTGGGAGTAACTTGTCAATAAGCACCATTTTACCAGAAGAACTAATTAAGGCTTTGTAATAGGAATCAGGGTCATCACCATGTTGTTGACGGTAATCATGCTGTATTTGATCTTCAGCACCTAGAATAAAAAATTATAACATTAATTCATCATCATAGGTCATTAAATTTGCTTTATATTTTTCAAACTTTTGATATTTATGTTCAGATATTTATTATTATTATCAGCAAGTACCTAAAGCACTTTCAAAATTAGCATAGCATATTAACCATCATGGATAGAAATAATGGTATTATCAAAATTTTATTAAGAAAAGAGGATTTACCATTTAACAAATAAGGATGGATGCAGCATTTTCGAAGTTCCATCATTGTGTTCATAAGGTTTGGCACATTTGCAGAAGTAGTTCCTTTAGAAAGGAATGAAAAATTTCTTTCCAAAATACCTCTGTAATATTTCTTCTGAATATTGGTCAATTCCACCTAAAATTGAACAACAGATTCATTATTATATAATATAATTATTAGTGATAAGATACTATTTGTGTATTAAATAGATTCAGATGTTAACAATGAGAAGTTAGTTTAACTCAGCAAATGCCTAAAGCATTCTCGGTATTAGCATGACAATTCATCACCTTGTAAAGATCATGTAATTTATATTTTAAAAAAAAGAAGAGAAGTTCTTACTTCTACGACAGTCTCTTCCTTGGGAGCTAGTGTCTTTTCTACATCTTCTTTCAGTCTTCTTAGCATCATTGGTTTGAGAATAATTTGTAACTTTTGAACTTCATTCTCACTTTTTAAAGCACCAAACTCATTAAGAAAAGCATCACTGGATGCAAACTGTTGGGGCTCGAGAAAATTCAACAAGGAGAACAGTTCGTTGACATTGTTTTGTAATGGGGTTCCAGAAAGGAGGACCCTATGTTCTAAAGTGAGAGAACGCAGCCCTTCTAACAATTTACAATTTCGATTCTTCAATCTATGGGCTTCATCAATAACGCATATCCTCCATGAAAAGTCTTTTAGATCTTGAAAATCTGTTATTATTATCTCAAATGTTGTAATCAAAACATTAAATTTGGGCAGATCTTTCATAATTTGTCCTTTCTCATTGCGAAAAAACATCTCGTACTCTTGGAGCATGTTTCTGCTTGCAGCACTGAAAAAGAAAAAAATCACTCCATTAATAACTTTTATCTTGCAACCTCTTAATAAATAAAATCAGCAATTTTGTTCAGAGCTACACTGATTGTCAACACATTTGTGTCTGATGTCACGCTTTGATTATCATCATTTGTGGCAATGTAAACATTTCTGAAAAAATAGAACTTAAAAAAACTTACGATCCATGGTACACAATAACATTGAGCTCAGTCCATGCCTCAAATTCTCTCTGCCAGTTTGGAATCGTTGAAAGTGGTGCTATGACTAAAAATGGACTTCGAATTCCATATTCAAAAACAGCATGCAGAAAAGTTAAGGATTGAATTGTTTTCCCTAGACCCATTTCGTCTGCTAGTATACAATTTCTCCTAAAAATACACATTAGTGTTAAGTGTGTTTGATAAGTAAGAAATACATACATATTATACATATTATATATATATTTTTTTTTTTATGGAGTTTTACAAAATTGTTTAATAATAAATTTCGAATTGTTACGTAAAATGCAATTAAGTGTTTGTTTAAGGGAGGGGGTCAACCATTTGTGGATTCTTTTTCCATTCTTCCTTGAATATCTAGTGGACTAATGGCCTGACCCAATCTCATTTTATTCATGATTTTCTTGTGGATCTTTTTATATAAGTTTGAATCCAAATAGTTATTTGACAAGCTGTTCAGTGTTACAAATTTATCAAAATGCACTTCAAAACATTGCCTGTTGATGTTCCTTTCTTTCGAGAAAAGCTAAGTTATCCAATTGGTTGTTTGTTTTAAACAGTACTCCAATATGAAGAATGTTTTTGTGGAAATTTTGTTCTATTCATTATTTACATGATATTGACCATTTTGTAAAAATCTGCTGCAGCAATTATCGTTATCCAATTCTTTCTCAGGGAGTGAATTTTATTAACATAAAAGTGTCTTGACAAAACTTTGTTTTTTGTCCTTGTTAAATTAAAAAAGTTTAAAATTTTCAATTAACATGTTAAGACTTCCTTTATTATGTTTAAAATTTTGTACATTTTTAAGATTTTTTATGTATACCTACTTCTTTTTCCCCCAATTTATTTCTTTAACTTGTATAGAAAAATTTCTTCCAAAGTTTTTCGACATTTGGTTTTCAACTGTACCTGTCTACAGTCAGTTCTTTCAATTAATGCATGTAACAATTTTACTAACTACATATTGTAAAAAAAATATAACATTTTTATCTATCAATCTATTGAACAGAAGTCGAGAAAAAGGAAAAAGAATGTAAACAAAACATGACGTCACCAGTTTTTTTTTAGTTGACGTTAGATTTTTGACTTTTTTACCCCACTTTTCATTCTGTTGAAGCCACACAGTACTGCCTATGTTAAAACATTTCCACTGGGTTGCAGGGTTCTCGTTTTATATTGTGATTTATCCATTTATAGACACCATTTTGATCTGTGTAGCCCTTTCTAATTTTTAAATTAATTACTTAATTAAATCCTGAATTAAAATCCTAATCCTAAATTTAAATTAATTACTTCTGGTGCACAAAACGGCAAATCTTTTACACAAATGATGCACACAAATCTAATTGAACACAATAATAATAATAAACAAATGGCTTTGCAAACGTCAAAATTGGTTGCCTTAAATAAAAACATTAATTGATATGAAATAATGAAAATTCCACTTACCCATTGTACCATGAAAACAAGAGCCAATTTAATCCTTCAAGCTGGTAAGCTCTCAATGTATTTTCGTTTTTATATACTGGAGACTTATCTAATTTAACCCATTCTTTGGCACAAGGTTTCTTTTTTGGCTGTAAAGTTTGAATAATAAGAACAATATTAGAAAATATAGTTATTTACAAAACAGTTATAAAATACAGTCAACTCTTGGTAACTCCAAACCCAATAGACAGAAGTTAAGCATTACTGTTATTAAAAAAAAAAAAATCCAAAATCCCTAACAAACTAGAAAAAATTCTAACTTCGGTCTGCACAAATAAACTATAATTGTAGAGGAAGATTTCAAGGAAAAAGTTCAAATTATAAAGAGAGTAAGTGGCTCCATTTCAATTAATAAGGTTTGTTCCATCACACAATCACAAACCAATTTCCAACTAATTGTGATTTGTGACTGTGCAGGCCGAACATTGACTGATCATGGATTCTTAACTCTATGGAATGCTATTTGCAATCTCGAACATCGACAGTGTAGGTGGGAAACAAAGAAATGTTTGAAATCAGAAATGAACTTTTTGTGTCTATTATTTTATAATGAATGTGGGTTAATTAGATGGCAGGCAAAATCTAGGTTCTGCTGGCCTACCTAAGTATATTAAATTGAGTTATTGGGCTGAATAATGCACGTTGTGAAAAGGCAGTCAAAACTTTTCAATTTTCTTAAAATAAATAAAATGTATCCAACATATTTTCAATCACAATATATATCTTTGCCATATGTAAAAAGCGCTTTTGGCTTCACCACATTCTCTAGTAATTTGATCCCTCAAGAAATGATAAAAATGCCTACAAAAAGTGGAAGTAAGTCGGGTTGAAGGGTGCGCTAAGGTTTCATAACTGAATTCCGTTTCCGCAGGGTTGGCATTGCAACATGTGGCCTGGCGTTATCGTGAAAAAGAATAGACCCGTTACAGTTTACCAATGCTGGACAAAGATGTTGCAGTTTCCGTCATACATTTTGTCAATTTCTTGGCAATATTTGTCTGCTGTAACAGTTTCATCCAAATTCAAGAAAATATAGTAAACAACCCCAGCAGTACACCACCAAACAGTCCCCACAACCTTTTTTGGGTACAGATTTGGTTTCGGGAAGTGTTTTGGCACTTCGTCCTTGTCCAACACTGACTTGTACGCCATGCCTCCTGTTATCATACAGAATCCATTTCTCATCACATGTTATGATTTGATCCAGAAATGCATCAATTTGGTAAAAGAGCCGTACAAATTCCTAAGTATTGATTTCTTTGTGTTGTGCTGAGTACCCACTTGTTGAGGCTTCTTTACTTTACCAATTTGCTCTAGATGGCGAACAACGGTTGAGTGGTCAACACTAAGCTCTCCCACTTTTTTTATTTTCCAGGTTGTCTTCAACATTTTGAGTTGGTCGTCATCCACAACGGAAGGCCTACCACAACCTTCCCTATCTTCGATATCTCTGAAACCATTGCGGCTAATGCTTCCCTCCCCCAAATTTTATTGATGTTATGCGCAGGTGGGGGCCACACTTCACCCAAGTTTAAATTCGTACAATTAAATTTTACGAAAATATAGTTTGAACATATTTCGCAGTCCTCACCACTCTATAAAATTCAATATAAATTAAAATGTTTTGTATAAAAGATAATAGTCAAAAGTACTTATTATAATCCATAAATTAGATTTGAGGATTTACCATTCTTTATATGGCAAGCACCTGCGAAAATAAAACAAATTTTAAAAAACCTGCATTAATTTTGCACCAACCCATTATTAAAAATGATATCAACTATTCCTCCCTTCTAGAATTTATTAATTTTTTGCTCCTCCTATAATAAATAAATACACCACATAGAACTATTTTATATATTGAATATCATTCAACGAAATATGGAGAACTATTGATAGAATAATGAACATGGCCAATAAATCCTCTCAACCTAATTTTTTCTCACTATTTATGATTCCGTTAAACATCACTTGTAGAACTCTTTAATATTTTTTTAATGCGTTTTTATTTTATACAATTTTTTTGAGTAATAGAAAGATACATTTTTATTTACAAAAATTTAAAAATGTACATTATCTCAAATAAATTAAAGGTTTATTTTTTATTTTATTCACTCATATATTCTCCCTTTTTACACGTTCTTTAACTAATGTGTGTAAATAAATTCTTTTAATTAAGAATAATGAACATGGCCAATAAATCCTCTCAACCTAATTTTTTCTCACTATTTATGATTCTGTTAAACGTCACTTGTAGAACACTTTAATATTTTTTTAATGTGCTTTTATTTTATACAATTTTTTTGAGTACTAGAAAGATACATTTTTATTTACAAAAATTTAAAAATGTATGTTATCTCAAATAAATTAAGAGGTTTATTTTTTATTTTATTCACTCGTATATTCTCCCTTTTACACATTCTTTAACTAATGTGTGTAAATAAATTCTTTTAATTTTAACTAATTTTTTTAAAAATATTTTTACTTGAGTATTTCTACAAAAAAATAAATTCACATATAAGGGTTTGGAGCGCAATGAAATGCCTGCCAGTTTGGACACATGATGGAACAAACCTATAGAATGCTATCTTTCCCCATTCGAAAAATATTTTGTATTACTGGGAAAAGTAAAGAATTTTTTTAAATCACTAAAGTGACCTGCTGAACAGTTTGTATTATTAAGAAATTCGAATTATCAAGTTTCAAATTAACAAGAGCCTGTATTTGATGTTTATACAACTTACTTTCCACAAATCCTTGGGTGGAAGTTTGCTGAATCTTTCAAATTGTTTAATTTTTGCGGGGTCAACGTCATCCTGTAGTTCCCATGTGCTATCTTCGTATTGGAGTGACCTCCATTTGACTAGGTAATGCTTAACTGTCTCGTTTGTATTTGGATCTGTGTGTTCAGCTACATCAAGCACTCTGTCTACTTCAATGTAATCTGGATTGAAAGGATCTTCTTCAAGCTGCAAAAAAATTGTCATGTACGTTTAAAATAATGTATGTACATAAAATAATAAATATTTTATGAATATTTATGAATAAACTTACATTTTCAAAAATGTTTGTTTGAGTTGCTTGTTTTTGTTTGAACCTTTTAAGTTTGGCTGAAATCCTTTTATCACCTTTAAAAAGTTCTTCTTCACTTTTCCATTCGCAATGCAAATAAGAGAAGTTTCTATATTTCACATAATATTCCTCAATTTCTACCATTTCTGTTTTAGGTTTTGGTTTTTCGACTTGAGGAGGCCCTTCCAAGGGTTTATTCTCAACGACAGTCTCCTCACTTTGAGGCTGATCTGCACCTATGCCTTCACTTTTAATTTCTACCTTTTTATCTTTTTCCTCTTCAACTTTTACTTCCTTCATAACCTTTCTAGTCGCTAAAATATACTGAACCACCATTGAATCTTCATCTGTTGGATTCTGAAAAAAAACGTATAAAATATGAAAACTAAAAAAAGATTGTTCCAGACCAAGCAATGTTTCTACGCTTCACTATCTTACGATATATACAAAATTGTGTTTCAGAGGATCGGTGTTCGCTGCATCTGGTGAATTTTTGACCGTCTCTATCTTAGGTGATCCAGATTTTCCGCTTTCTTCATCTGATATAGATAACATAATATCATCAACATACTTCTTTCTTTGAGTATTTCGAGCAGATCTCCTCTTCTGTTTATGAATTTAAAAAAATAATAAATAAATATATATACACACTCACTCACACGCACACAATTCTACTTACATTACTATCATCTTCTTCAGGAGCTTCAGGAGCATTTTCTTCACCTTCCTGAGTTTGCACTTTCTTCTTTTTCTTACTGTAAACAATCATGAGTAAATTATTAACTTATTAATGATTACTTAAACATGAGAAACATACACAGCCTTAGGCTTTTTGGGCTTCTTTTCTTTTTTCCCTTTTTTCCCTTTGACAGGAGTTTCTTCTTGTTCCGTATCAAGCCCTGTCGTATCTTCTGCGGGTGTTTCCGATTGTGGTTGTTCTTTTTCAATAGAGTCCATTTCTCCTTGCTCAATAGCAACTTTTGCTTCATCTTCATTGCCATTATTTTCATTATCTTCACGACTTTCATCACTCACTCGCTTCTTTTTCCTGTAACAAAAAAGAAAAACGTGTATCTTGTAATGTCTAGCATTAAAAATGGTGCTGGCCAAATTACCTCTTTCCTTTTGTTTCCTCAGGAGAATCTGATGAAGCCTTTTCTCGCTTTTTCTTTGGTTCCTTTGGCTCTTTTGGCGTTTTAGGTGTGCGAGGAGTTTTAGGAGCTTTAGGCTCTTTAGTTTTCGGAGGCTTTGGTTCTTTTGGCTCTTTGGGTTTCTTTGGAGCCCTTGGCTTCCGGGGCTTTTTTTTGTCCATATCAAAATGAAGTGGGGGAGGTGGTTCTTCATCCTCGGTGAAATTAAAGACACTAGTTTCTTCAGCAGTAGTATTCATATTAACAGTTTCAACAGGTTCGTCGTGTGATTCAAGTGGTGGGGGTGGGAGATCAGGGTCACTTGACACTGATGTCTCTGCAGTCAACATGGGTGGCTGATCTGGGGGATCTTGCTGAATAGAAACTGGCACCGATGGAGTCCCTTCAATGGGTAATTGAGGAGGTTCTTCAGTACAAGGTTGATCAGGTGAAAGTTCCTCTTGGGGTTGAGCTTCAGACTGAGATTGTGCCTGGGGTTGTGATAAAGTTTGTAATGGAGACTGAGACGGTGGCGGTGTTTGAGGTTGAGAATTGCCTTGGGGCAGAGCCTGCGGTTGAGGAAGTTGTTGGTGTTGCTGCAGAAGGGGAGGCATATGAGGCTGAGGTTGAATTTGAGACATGTTTTGTGAATGCAATTCAGGCTGAGTTTGAGAAAGTTGCGCCTGTGGTGGTAGTTGCAATGATTGGGGTTGTAATTGTGTTTGTTGTAAGGGCTGAGTTGGTAATGATAAAGTTGGCTGTTGCATGGGTTGGGACTGAGTCGAAGGTTGCATTATTGGGGGATGCTGCTGCAATGAAGAATTCTGTTGAACACCTAATGCAGACGGTTGGATCTGCTGAAGTGTTGGTGGACACAATGTTTGTGGTGGCGGCTGTGAAATACCCATCATTTCTGGTGGAGAGCTAAAGGGAGGTGGACCATCAACTTCACCTTTCGTTTTTCTAGGTTTTCTGGCTCTAGGAGCTGAACCTGACCCTCGACCTCTTCCTCTTCCTCTACCACTGGTTGCAGGAGGCGTACTGCTTATCTGTTAAATAAAGTTAATTATCGGGTTAGTATTAGTAAAATGAACGAAAAGTTATTTCAAAATACAAAACAACAAACAAAATGAAAATGAATTCTTCTAGCTTATATCATTGTAATAATAATTAAATACATAGTTTTACTTTTAAAGATTAGTGGATACCTGTGAAACTGTGTCTATTGGGCCACTAAGCCATAATGGACTTTGAAGTAAACAGTTGCTACCACCAATACATTGATCATTAGCTTCATGATGCTGTAGCATATTTATTCTCTCTTGTAAATGTGATATCTAAAACCCAGTTTGAGAAATTAAATTTGCAAATTAATTTTGAAGTTCTTTTAAAAAACCATCACAAATACCTTTATTTGGTTGTCAGGAGCTGGAGGCATACAGTATATTTCTTGAAGCTGTTGTTGTAGAGCAGCCATTTCCTGTTGATGACTTATTGGTGATTGATACACCGGTGGTCTGTTGGCATTGTCGGAATACATTTGGGGATGTGAAAGAGGTATGGTTTGTTGGTTTTGCATAGGCGGAAAAACCCCCATCCCTATACCATGTTGAGCATGCAAACTGTTGCTCATTGTATTTGGAGGTACCAAATTAGACTGTTGAGATTGTAAAGTTGCCATTTGGGAATGCATATTTGGAGGCTGTTGTGATGTTGGCATTTGTTGGGATGTAGGCTGTGATGGTTGGGGTTGGGATTGTGGCTGCTGGGATACAGGTGACATCTGAGACGATTGCTGGAGGTTGGAACTTAACGGCTGACTGACATGTGGACTAAGTTGGGAAGTCATATTTGTTGAAATCTGCTGTTGGACTCCAGGCATTTGTGACTTTTGGGGAACATTTGATTGAGAGGATATGCTATGCGACTGATTAGGAGGCGAGTGTTGAGATGGAGATCTATGAACTTGAGCCATCTGATTCACACTTTCTGAAGGCTGATCGTTATGATTTGATAACACTTCCTCAGGTTTATTGCCATTTTGAAAACCTAGAGATTCTCCAGTGTAACCCATGTTAGTTTGCCCATCCATAGGTTTTTTGGGTTGGGATGAATTGCCAGATTCGCCCAGAGATGTCACAGGCATTTCCATAGACTGTGAAGTTGGCTTATGAGATGAGTTTGAAAAGTTATCCTTGGTAACTGACGAAGGAAAATCTAAAGAGCCATTTGTACTAGGTGGGATGGACTGAGATTCTGTCTGTGGAGTGGGTATTCTCATTTCAGATTGCATAACCGAGGTTTTACTTGATAAAGTACTGTGGCTTTTTGATGGATCAATTGGTCGGTCTTCAGTCTGAGTGGGTGGAATATTTGAGGGAAATGGAGATAGTTGATCTTGCATAGAATTTACGCCTCCATTAATTGGAGTCTGTCTTTGAGGCTGCCATTGAGGAGGTGTAGGTTGAGCACCTCTGAAAGATGGATATTCCGTATTACTTGAACTACTTCCTGTTTGAGGCATTACCATCTGCTCGAGTTGTTGTAATGTGCTCTGCTGGGGGAACGAAGCTGGTGATGGAGCACTTGTCTTTGGTGTAAGAGATGTTGCAGGTCTTGGAGACACTGTAGGTTGTTGTGAATGAGGATGTGGGGATAGAGTTGTAGGTTTGGCTGGTGACATCACCGGCCTAGGGGACATTTGAGGCCTTGGAGACATTTGCTGTCTTGGGGACATTTGGGGAGATAACTGAGGAAATGGTGCCCTATACTGAGGGCTGCTCCCTTGAGAATGACCTTTGGTGTACTGAGGATTTGCCACTTCTACTCCTATAGGCCTAGTCATCCCTTGCTGAAAACCTTGATGTGGACCACCCATATTACTTGAGTGTGATTGCATATTATAACCTCCTCCTTGGTTTGATTGATTAAGATCAGTCAACATTTGCTGAGGTTGAGAAGAATACTGCATATGGTGGGGCATTCGAGATGATGTCTGTTGTTGGTGCATGGGACTTGCATACCCATAGCCGCCAGTGGCTCCAGGGTATACCATCCCTTGAGGATAATGTGGCTGCTGCTGTTGTTGCTGCTGCTGCTGCTGTTGTTGTTGCTGCTGCTGCTGCTGTTGTTGTTGCTGTTGTGGATTTCTTTGGTAGGAATTAGCTTGCATGCCTTGATGCAACATAGGGTTCATTAATGCTTGTTGATTAGCACCATAATTTTGGCCAATCTTTTGGGTACTGACAGAGTCCTGCTGATGAGGATATCCACCCATCGCTTGTCTATATTGGTTAGGTTGCATATTATAATGTCTTACTGAAGATGGAAAATGACCACTGTTCCAATCAGGCAATCCTTGCCCTTGTTCCATAGAATACATGTTATCAGGTGGCATATTATACCCAGGATACTGAGATCCAGGCCTCCTCAAATCATGTTGTGGCATCATACCTCTACTGTACGCAGTGTTAGGATTAGCCGGATGCATGGGGCGTGGGGCATCCCCATGATATCCAGCATGATTACCATGATACACATGACCTCCAGCAGAATCTAAATGATTTGATGTATATTCACCTCCAAAAGAGGCTAATTTTTGTAGAGGTGACTCTTGATGCATCTCCCCCATTTGATGCGGATATGAATATTGAGCAGGATTTCCAGGAGGTTCTCTTGCTTGGGGGGTGGGTTCAAAATTGTCAGAACCCAAGTCGGGAAGACCATCGAGCATTCCCCCAGCCACATCTTCTCCAAAAATATCGTAGGAATCCATAATCCAATTACACTAACAAAGGTGGTACCCTACTGAGCTGAGAAGGTCTCAACCCAGTCTCCCACATTGCAACTCTTCTTGATTAACTTTTTGTGGCTGAAATAAAAAAGAAAAAAAAAAAGATGTAAACGAATTGTTAAAAATAATATTGTTTTAATGGAGCATAACTCTTAGCTTAGGTATATATTTGATTTAAAATATATAAGTAATATAATATATATTAAAAAAATGTAATATAAATTAAATACAGTGGAAACCCGTTTATCCAGACCCCGACGATTCAGACTCGTTTGTTATAATATTGTTTATAAATTATTTGGAGATCGTGAGATCATCGTCTGGTATAGTATTGTACAGTGGTATAGTCTCACATTCTCCAAATAGTCATTAATTAAAGGTCACTAAACACCACACATATTTATAAATTTTTCATAATTCTCAATGTATGTATATTAATTTTTTAAAATTCATAATTCCACAATGGGATTTTTAATTCGTCGTTCGAAATTCGTAAAGGTCACCAAATCGCCCTTCCACTAGTCACACGATCGAAGAGGACAGAGAGGCCGACAGTCATGTTTTTGTTAAAAAATAAATAAATAAATAAAATTTTAAAAAAATAAAAAATTGTAATTCAGATATCGTGAGATGCGGTCGGGTGTGATGTAGGTTTCAGAAAAACATTTTCTTTATCGTGCCAATGTTTCGATCTTTATTGAGATCATCTTCAGGGCTCAAAGTGTTTGTCTTCTGTGTAATTGTGCCATCCTTGTGTGTCGTGTTGAGATCTCTACACATAAAAAATTGTTCGTATTTTGCTTCCATTGAAAAGGTTTTTTTTTTATTACATATATTTTTATTAGGTATTTTTTACATATAAATTTTTTGAGAAACGCTTGTCCGGACTTAAACAAAAATAAAACTAAAAAACTACCTATTACTTTAAATGTTACTTGATATATGAAAAAAGTGTTCACTTTCGTTGTTTTTTTCCCCGCTTTTATGTCAAAATTTAACATAATTCTGATGTGTCATGTTAAGGAACATTATGCAGAATATTTAATTTAATCATAAATTGTGTTCATATAGATCCATTAAATATTTTTTGTCAATTTATATTGTAAAATAATTATTCACATCGTTGTTTTACATTTTGTTTGATTAAAAAGAAATAATAGTGTATGCAAAGAGGATACTAAATGGCAAAGAGTAGAATGTAGAATAGATTGTGATGTTTACAATTTTTGAATTGAACTACTCCTGTTAATTGACAGTATTTTAAATTATACTTTATGAATCGCTCACTTGTGCTTATACACGGTTGTATCAGTAGTGGAAACTATATAAATAATTATAAAGAACATAATTTCATAATTTAGAATTTAAAAAGAAAAATTAATACATCTTCTATTTGTATAGGTTATAAAAGCCTGGTTTTCTAATTACAGCAATAATATAACTATAGAAAATGGAACTATTCCGAACTTGATAATTTATTTAAAGTTAATAATATCATATCACAAAGTGTACTTAATGTTTAACTGATGAGCAACGTTTTTCATCAGTAGTGAATACTGAAGTTCTAGGAAAGGTGTAATATAATTTTTCCTTTTTAAGTATTGAAAGAATGATGCAATGTTTCAAAATCAATTGCTTACTCGTAGTTTATGAAACGGAATTATTAAAAAAAAATAATAATTTTAATATACAATAAAAATATCATGTCATAAATGAATAAGTTGGGGTTACCTTACATTTCTTATTTTCCCACTGAAAAACTAATGCAAGTTTCATTTTATTAATGCAACGTTTTTACATCTAACAATAGAATTGACAATACTAATAACAATAAATCTTTATGAAAAATATATAATGGAAAAAATAGAGGCTATTGAGCAATTTTAAGTACTAAAAATTGAGTCCGTTCACAATTAACAGTTCCTCTAGTTTATTTTATTTTTTAAATTTATATTCCAAAGTAAATATAATTATAATTTAGCCAGTGTGATAGAAATAAAATTTATGAGCAACTACTTTTGCAGAATATAAACAGTATAGGGGGGAATAATGATATTCTCACAAAATTTTCAAGTGTCAAAATCTTGAAAAAAGTTACAATTTATAAATGTACGATGTATGTACAATTATGTATGTATGTATAATTTGTAAACTATGAATTATTGAAAAATTTGAAAAGTATAAAATCAGATAAAAAGATTTCATAGCGAACTTGCCAAACACTGTATGAATGTTCTTTTTAAGCAAATTAAATGGAGAATCTGAGTTTGTAGAAAACTTATTTTAGTTTACTTTAGACAAAATATCGAATTAAATGAGTAAATATATTTGAATGTGTTTCATTGTGATAAAGGTGGTGTTCATTATATTGGGACACACAACAATAACACACACCCAACTACATTGACAGAACTTTGTTTTAATAATGATCAAAATTATAAATGTGGCTAAGACTTACAAGCAACTGCAAAAATGTATTTTATATTAGTAAAGTGACTAATTTATTTAATTATCAATTAGATAAAAAACAAAGTATTATGCCATAACTGTCACCGAAGCCAATTGCCTGCACCACCTACATACCGGATCCCAAAACTGGAAGGCTGACAGCAGAGAGGATTTTGGCTAGGCTAAAGTCCGCAAACCGGAAGCTAAGCACACAGCTATGGACTGTCTGGGGAGAAATCCGACAGGAGAAGGGTACCTTGTGGACTCCATGGACAATGACTCCTTTCAGGAGCTCCAGAAAGTGGATAAGCACCCCCACCTTGGAATGGAAAGAATTCGATTCCGTTGAAGAGGTAAGTGTGAAGAAGCCAAAAGCCGAAAGGCTCAACTCGCACTTCCAACCACAGACGAAGAAGCAGACTCAGCAAAGGAGGCTGAGGATTACCAAGCCCGCTCAAAAGAATACAAGGCCAACAGCAGGTAGAACAAATGGAGGAAGATATCCCACATAGAGATTCTCCATCCACTTAGGCCCAATATCAGATGGACGGGGAGGAATAAGGCAAAGCTGCATCAGCCACACTGTACAGGAGGTTTGCCAGGGAGTTCCTGGATGTCGCCCTGATCCAAGAACCTTGGTACACAACGGGACTGAGAGAGAATAAAACCCCAACAACACAGGTAATATACCAGAGGTCTTCAACAAGACCCCGGGCTTGTAGTGTTCAATACAAGAATTAGCTGCACACAATACAAGAATTAGCTGCACACTATACAAGAATTAGCTGCACACTAATGCCGGAACATACTGCGGGCGGAGAAAGAAGATGGTTAATATTACACTCAGCCTACTTTCCAAGAGAGGAACAGTGCCCACCCAAGTTGCTGGACAACATTGTGAGGTACTCTAGAGAACAAAACATGAAACTGGTCATGGGATGTGATGCAAATGCCCACATCATTATATGGGATAGCACTGACATCAACAACCAGGTGAGTCCTTATTGGATTACCTAACCGGCAAATGGTTACATATTGCTAACATAAGCACGGAACCCACCTTCATCACCCGACATAGGCAAGAAGTCTTAGACTTGACAATCACTTCCCAAGGGATATTGAAAAGGTAACTACTAATTTAACGCAACTCCTTAGAACTGCAATCACCCATACCATTCCTATGGTCAACCCACATGAAAATCACTGGAGGCTTCCCTCGGGTCTATTATACCTTATAAACATTTAAAATAGAGTTAGACGACTCTCTCAAAGAAAACAAAATCCTAATCTCAAAAGGCTGACAAAATTATTACAATCCATATCAACATCCTGAAATTGAGAAACGACCGCTGGACTAATTTCCTATCTAAGGTCACTCTACAAAATAATCCACTGTGGAAAATAGTTAAGCGCCTTAAACATAAAAATGAAGGACCAGAAGCAACCATTATCCATAACAATAGATCCTGCATCACTGATGTCAAGAAGGTGAATGCAATGGGGGAATATTTTCAATCAGTCCACCTTCTCACCACCAATCAAGGCCCACGTTATCTTCAAAACGCTGTTACTAATCAAGTTAAGAGATTTATGGCAAATTGCACTAACCCTTTTTCTCCCCAGCAATGCAAGATTGTCACTCCCCAGGATCGGGATACAATACATACACGAAGAAATAAAAAAGCACCAGGTCTGGACCAAATCACAAATATTACACTAAAAAACCTTCCAAAAAGAGCTCTGGTTCTACTGACTCACCTCTTCAACGCCATCCTTTTTATTGGGGTATTTCCCGAAGTGCTGGAAAGTTTCCAAAGTGATATATATTAAAAAAACCGGCAAGCCGCAAGAACTTCCTCCGAGTTACAGACCTATCAGCCTACTCAGCTCTTTGAGCAAGATCATTGAAAAGATGTTAGCCAAAAGGATCGAAATTCATCTAGTCACCCATAATATAATTAAGAATGAACAATTTGGCTTCCGCCCAGGACTTAGCACCGTAGGTCAACTTGCTAGAATAGTTGATCACGAAACTGAAGGTTTCAACATTAAAAAAAAATTATTTATTTAATTTATTTATTCACTTCTCATCTACACTTTTTATGTGCATTTATTTAATTTATATATAGATTTCATCCCTCTGCTTGTGGTTTTTTGTTAACATAAATTTTTTTCCCACAAACTGATATGGAATTTCTCTTACCCATTTGTATAAAAAAATGATTAGTGTAAATAGTAGGAAGCCATAGTGAAATGTCACTTTCCCTACATTCTAAAATTATTGTATATATTGTTGTGCACATGTACAAATAAAAATTTATTCTCTAAACTTCCCAAGGGGCTGATGAGTACATCTTCAATTGGAATGTATCCAGGGAACCACCAACTCTGATCACAGGCACATCAGGTTTGATCTGAATACTCCCTCTCTCCTAGAAATAACATACAAGAAGAACCCCAGGAATATCGATTGGATAGGCTACAAAACAACCCACCAACATTCCTTACAGGGGATAAATAGGGAATTCAGAGACAGGGAGGGCGGGCCTGGAAATTTCTGTGGAGTTAACTAACGCCATACTAAGCTCATATGAAACTGCATGGAAAAAAGAAGGCTAAATAAACACAAA